TTATTACACCGTAATTAATACTCAAGTTGTACAGCCAAGTATTACTTCAGAACATAGAATAATTAATTTAAGGGCGGCCCGCTAGCGGTCAACTTTTGATACGAAAGAACAAGAAGAATAAAAACAAAAGTTTCGTTCCCTTCCCTTGATGGGATTGCAGCTAAACCTTTGTCGTCTAATACCTCTTTACGGAACGACCGTCTTATTGAAAAGGGAAATAGATACCCCAATAAATGGCGCCGGGCAAGTATACATTTGTTTATACTCTGCGTACCAAACAAGTTGTTTGAACTGTATTTAATTTAAACTAACTTGATGTTGGAATTAGGTATCGTTTTTGCACGGCCAGTCTTTTTTTCATTTCGTTTCATTTTATGAAAATAAATTAAGAAAATCATATTAAAATCACAACAAACTAAGTAACTATTTTTTTATTAAAATCATTGCATTTATTAAAGCCGGTGCAAGAAAAAAATGAGAAATGGGAAATCACTCCGTTTTCCCCCCTGTTTAAGGCAGCGGCTGCGGACTTGGCCCACAACCCCTGCTGAACATTTGCCTTTTGTGCCCTATCTGTAGTGGTCTATTGGCTCTTTGAGGCGCCCATAGACTCCCGCAAATCAATAAGACCGATTTCACCATTTGGGGTTTGGGGGATAGAAGTGGATTCATTAATGAAAACGTTTAAATACATACTTCAATAGAACTGTAACATAACTATAATTCTAGCCGTTGTTCAAGTTTTCCATCAAATTAGGTGCTTACGTTTACATGTCCGCTTGAGTTGACCTTTGTCGCAACTCGTAGCCAATGAGCTGCGATAATTCGTTGGCATTGAACGGGACTATGCTTTGTAAACAATAGGATTATATTAATAGATCCGTTCATTCGAATACAAGGATTAAATTGAAGGTTAGTTCAAGTGACCTTTCAGAAACACGAGGCTACATGTTAAGTGGGAAACATGCTGAATACTGATCGAAACCTGTCTTTTAGACTGGGTCAAAGGTGAATCCGGTTGAATCAGGTGTGGAATTTTGATGTATTTTCTAGGTCTTTCAAAGTATATTGTACTTACTTATTGTACTTTTGACTAAATATTAAGTATTTAACTCTGCATTGTTAAAGCTACATAGCTTGAAAAATGCCTACATGCACATTAAGAACCTATTTTAAAACATCATGAGAATTGCCACGCAGCGCATACTGCAGGGATGTTTACCAAGGGCTGATTTTTCAATGGTTAGATAAAAGTTACCTGGGGAATAATTGTAATACTGTCACGTCAGAATGTTTGTATGACACGGTGACAGCAACAATTTTATTCCTCAGATAACATTTAAATGACTATTAAAAAATCAGCGCTTAGTGTTTTTTTTTGTGTCTGAGCTTGAACACCCAGGTTTGTTTTGTAATCACGGGCAACTAGTTGGTTGCTCAATTGGAGGTACCAGGATCAGTTCAATAACCTGACCATACAACGATGTGTAATAAAATAAGGCTTTCACGAAATAACATGTTGAACCATGCAGTAAGCTTCCATCAATCAGCGTTGCAAATGCGGGGATTTTGGCGTAAAATACAAACGCCACGAGGATTTTAATACCACAAAAATCAAGCTTAATAACGACACGTTTGTGTAAAAATATATGTAAATACAATACCTATGTAATCCTTTATCACATGTTGAATTTATAATATGCAAACGCAAAAAAAGGACAATAATACAAGTGATTGATTTTTTTCAATATCATCGGTTTATTTTTTTTAACATGATTGCTATGTACTCTTTTATTATGAAACAGGCAAACGATCTTACGGATCACCTGATGGGAAGAGATCAGGGTCGCCCATGAACACCTGCAACACCAGAGGAGTGACTGTAGCGTTGCCAGCCTTTTAAAAAGAAACGAGTGTACTCGACGCTCTTTTCTTAACGGCATGAAGGTCACATCTGTTTGGAAATACCTCATCGAAAGATCATTCCAAAGTTTAGCTGTGCGAGGCATAAACTTTGGAAAACATCGCAAATTTTTACTAACTGATAAAAAACATGTTTCTATATGTTACTGACCTATTCAATCAAAGACATTAAAGTATTCAACATTAATCCTGGCTTAATCAATTTAATTCTTCATTATATTATACTAATTGTGGAACTTTGAGCTAAGTTGTATCTGACGGGGCCCTAAGTAAGTAATAAGAATAAAGTATTTATAAGACGTAATTTAGTACTCACACCAATTTATAATAGGGTAGGACGCGAACGAACAGACAGATCACCTGATGGTAAGTGATTAGCACCACAATACAAGGAAAAATGGATTTCTCCTCCTGTAATCTTAGTCCCACCATTACCTTGCAACATATTGCATTGTCTTACACGGATGTTTTAGGGTCTCTTGGCTCGCCGACTTGAGGAATCGGTTGTAAGCGTAGTTATAATTACATATATTAAAATTGACCATAAGCCTAATTAGAATATCCCACCCGATGGAATACGTAGGTAAGTATATAATTATTAAAGTAAAATTAATGAATAATGACCTGCTTTTAATACCATATAAAGGTCAAGTTTTACATCACATTTTCATAGAATATTTCATTATTAATATTAAAAAACTTTAACCTTCAATTAATTCTCACAAGTAACATCATCGTGTCAAACATTTTTGATAATTCTACTAAGTATAACCTTCTCAAAATAGGTTTTGTTGATGAACCAGTCTTAGACATGCAGCCAAAAATATTTTACTCTAGCGACAGATAGACCGAGACAAGTCTATTTTAAACACCATGTTACTATAAATCTAAGAATTCGAAACACCTCGTAGTAACAAGCTACGGCGGTACTACGACGTAGCATCAGCTAATAGCTTTTCGTAGTAACTAAAAATATCAGTTCGTTTACCAGGCTACGATAAGTCAGCATATTTAATGTTATGTAAGAATAATATATTCTTGGGATCAAAGACCAATGGGATATTCTATGGGAGAGCCATGCTTCGGCACGAATGGAATAAACAATAATTGTAAGTTATCAGATAGCGAAAATGTTCCTATTTTTGAATAGGTCGGCTCGTTTCCCGCCTTATCCCAAAAAGAAACCTATCAGGCATCTTTTAATGCAGCTCCTGGCAGAAATTAGTAACAAAAATAATAGTTACTCTATCGTTTCACACAAAATACTGCATTATGCGAAATCGATGAAACGTTACAGGCAAAGCCTAATGAACACATGGGAGCTATTAATAACCATTAGGTTGTCGCCGTCACAATAATAATAGCGCTGCAATACATATAAATTAATAGAACGCCTTTAATTCCCCAAAGGGTTGAGCAGAAGCACATTAAATTCCAGAAGGCTGCATTTAATAAATAACTCCTAATATACTTGACAAAGACTATAATACAGTGTTACAGTGGCTGATTAGTTAAACTTCAATTTAAAACACTTTTTAAATACTCCCTTCTATAAGTGAGTCAATAAGTCCTAATAAGCTTAGAATATAATAAGTATATGGTCATACAACCTTAACCAATATAATATACAAAGTTTCGGCTCCGTATCCGTTCATTAAATTATTATCTTGTCTTGACAAAATGTAGTTGCGAGATTCCACTTCACGAACACACATGCTTAAATCACTACACACATACACAGTTTGTAGCTAATAATAAAAAAGATTTTCGGCAGACCCATTTAAACATTTTTATTAAAGATCTAATAAATTTAAATTATTCGCTAGTTAGACTATCTGAGATTTACTCGGAAAAACTGTAATTTATACTGCTTCATCATAACTACAAATTAATAAAGTAAACAAATAATAATCATTTGTCCTTAAAGGTTCGTTCCTATCTTAAAGCTATATAAATTACATAAAAATTCTAAACGATTTAAGGAAACTAATGAGAAATTAATAATATGTTAGGTAAACTTCACATAGGTACCTGCAATACAAAAAAGTGTATAAGTGTACCTACGTAGTTGTTTGCCGTGTTGATCGTTCACTAGAAAACCTTTAACTTAGACATACCTATAAATTTTAATACTAGACGTACTAGTTCATAAAACCACTTATTGATAACTAGAAATGAATCGAAGTTGTTAGCAGGCTAGAAAATTAGTCGTTGTTGTAAGTCAAGTCACGGTGTAAGTATTTTCATAATAAATTATGTACAACAATTTCTTCTTCGTTTAATAACGTAACTACTTTCTTTCTGGTTTCACTATCTTAATATTTTATTTAAAACTTCGAATTATTTTTAATTTTCTTACTAAAAGTAGCTCAATGTGTTTTCCTGATTAATTGATTTAACGGGAACGAACATTAGAACACGAAAAAGTTGTAAAACCACAAAAGTTGATAGTTCAAACTGCAATAACAAGACGCTAACAGCTCCGGACAATAAAAGCTGAAACCCTAACTTCTGAGTTCATAGCGCCATTAGTGCTATAAAGCGTAATCTCAGATATAAGGAAGCTGAGCACCTAATGCACCATACCACTTAAGTTCGAACTACGTTCCGGAAGTATCTCGACATCCAACGTTATAGCCAACACGCTCTGCGAAAAGTAAACCCAACCATTAGCGTACCATTGTAGAAAAAAATACCATATTTTAATTATTTTAAATTATTTATTATTCAAACGTTCATTCTAAATAAAAATAAAATTGAAATTAGTAGTCTAACAAGAGTAAGAGTAGTCTGAATAAAAAGACAATGGTTAGTAGCTCTACAATATTTAATCAGAACCTCAATAAATGCATAGGCCAATACATTAATCATGCCTATTTTTCAAACTTTATTAGGTTTTCAACTTTCATAACCAAATCATTTCAAGCTTCTTGTTACCCTATATTCAAAAGACACGAAGCTACACCAATTTCATTCGACTTTTTACATCTCTTCGACAGCGACAAATGTCAAATAAGCTGTCAAGTGTCAAATCTGAAATCTAAAGCAGTGATGTTTTTTACGTTCTTGAACTGTCAAGCAAAGCGAATACTACGTAAAAAACTACAAGTACTTACAAAATATAAACAGGAAAAGCTACAGTAAACCAGAATAATAAGCTAAAAGTAAAATAAAGTTAATGGAAAATGGTTCGCAGACATCGTGAACAGAGCACAACTGAGGACGAAATCGTGATTGGTAAATACATCTAAACTTTGTTTTGTTGACAATCAATTGTTACCATGCTCTAAATATTAATGAAAATGACGATTTATAGACACGCCGCCGCCGAAAAAACATAAAAGACATAAGCACAAAAAGCATAAGAAGAGAAAACTAGAAAATGAATACGATAGCGAATCGTCAATCGACGTATCATATGAAGACGCTGTGGCCAAGCCGTATAAAATTAAGGTAAAAGGACGTGACACACCAGGTACTTCAGCCGCGGATTTATTAAAAGCGCAAACAATGAAGTCGTCTTCTGACTCCCGGAGGTCCATACCTGGCTCCTCATCTAGTACTCCACCGAAAGCTTCGTCATCAAAGAAAAAGAAGAAAGGCAGAGACAGTGGCACTTCTAGCGAAGAAGAAAGATGGCTAGATGCTATTAAGTCTGGTAAACTAGAAGAAGTGAGTAAAACAATACTAAAATTATATCTCAACTATTATGAATTATCAAAACCCATATTTATAATTATAATTGTATTTTTAGGTTGATGAAGAACTTAAGAAAATCAAACCAAAGGATCCAAAAATGATGACAGCTCGGCAACGGGCCATGTATGAGAGAGGTACTGACAAAGAGACCAGTCCTGGAGGTGAAGTCCTTCTGGCATTGCCTTCAGGTTACAAAGAAAAAGTAATGACTGCAGAAGCCATACAGAAAGCTGCATTAAAGTCACAAAAACGTAAACAAATGGCTGATGAGAAAAGGGAAAAAGATAAAAAGAAAACAATGGATAGACTTTTGAAAAAACAAGAATCAAAATTGAAGAATATGTCAAAGGGCAAGCCTACTAGGAAGCTGGAGCCAATGATTGTATACAAAAACAGCAATAGTGAGATCTCATTATCTCTACCACCCGGTGTGCCTTTCCCACTGGAAAAGAAATCCCCTGTAGATCCTCCAAAACCTGTTAAGTGCAGCGTCGATGGATGTGACAATATTAAAAAGTACAACTGTTCCAAAACTGGAATTCCTCTATGCAGTTTAGAATGTTACAAAAGAAATCTCTTAGTTATTCAATAAAATATATTTTAGCTATTCTAGACATTGTATTTTCATTCTTCTCCTTATCAAAGGTTATCTATTTTTGCACAAGAGTAATTGAATACTAAGCAATTATTCAAGTCTAGTTTCTTGCTTGTTTATATAAACTCAGTATAACATTTTTTTTCGTAACTGGTATATATTATGTACTCTGTGCCCCCAACCCCTCTTATTACATGTACATAATATGTCTGCAAACTGAAAGCTAGTGACTTCTCTTGATCTACTGTAGAACTTTTATCACTTGGTTCACAGATGGGATATACTCGTACATTCAAGGTTCCACCACTTAAAAGCATTTTGTTCCAAGTCAATTGGATAGATGGCTCTGTTGTTCATAAAAGAAGCAGGAATAAGGTTTTTTGTTTTTGAAGTTGTTTACACAATCCGTTGTATTCAAATTTTATAGACACCAGATTTAAAAATAATTCTTCTAATAAGGTTAAAATAAAACGATAAAGGACAGCTAAACAGTGAGCATATTATATTTTTAAAGGATATAACAAGTTATAAGTGTTATAAATTTGACAATAATCATTCTCCACTCAAATGGCTTCTATCATAATGAAACCAGTCTTGAAATGTACTAGGAGGGACTCCTTTTATCAATCTCATTTTGTACAATAACCAGTACTAACTCTAAACTTCATATTCAATCAGTTTATTAGCCTCTTATACCTTCCATCATTTTCTCTTAGCTAAATCTACCTTAATAATAAGGATGAAATATGTCTTCTTGCCATTTGGTACTAAAATCTTGTAGAATTCTTTGCACTATGTATACTAATATGAGTCACAATTTGGAAAAATGTGACACACACAACATCAATATAATCTTGAAAATACTAGCTAAAGGAGTTACTCTTCAATCCTTCCATTTCACCTACAAAGTCTTATGATAAATCATTTCAGACTAGACTGTGATAAATTATTTGAATAACCTTAATACCATTCAATTTTTCTCTATCTCACAATAATTATCCTTATCAATTTACTACTATTACATTAGCTATATAATTTGGCAAAATCATACACACCATGAATTACTACAATAAAGAGTAAAGAATCTGTATTTAGTACTTCTACCAATTGAAGATTTATTATACCACATTTTTGATGTATTATTTATAATATTTACAGTAAAACATGAAGTATTATGGCAATTGGTGATGAATATCATAATAGTGCAATGCAGTAATCTATTATACAATATATAAATTATATTTGAATATTGAATTGAGACACCAAATATTTTTCATATTTCTAGAATCAACTAACTTGAGTTCTAATCCCCTAATGGGAAATAAGAATAATTCTTAACAACAAAAATTGGTATTAAATTATGAGCTTCATCCACTTGAGATGTTTCAGGAACAAGTTTCTAATACTAGACAACATTGATTTGGCAAATCACTTGAGCTGTGTAAGTCGTGTGATTAATATAAGCATAAAATTACTTTATATAAGAATTATGACATAGATGTACTGCAAAGCTTGTACACATTGTTTCCATACAATATTAGATAGAATATTACACTATTTTACACTTGCATAAACAACACATGCAACATTTAATAATGTACATTTCCCATCTCAAGACATTCATAGACCACACTCCCGCCATTAATGGCTTGTGATGTTACATCAGAAAAATGCATTCTTCACATCTCCATTTACTACATCTAATTTTACACAAGAACAACAAATACTGTAGATTTTACCAAATACATTTATGAATCGTATACTAGACATCAATCAATATTTGATGACACTACCACATGTGTAGACCAGATCATGAATATAAGATATGTAATTGTCCTGCATTGTAATTAGCACTATTACTGTCATGTTTCTTTTAATCAACTTCAGGTAGAATAATCACTAGACACAGAACAGACACAGACACATAGTAATAGAAGAAAGTTGTCCATAGATCTGACTATAATCATAAATGCCTCATGCCATTTTCATTCCTCCACAATCAAGAGAGCCATGGAAAAGTGGTCAAGTTGACCATTGAAGGACACAGCTCAGTAAAGTCTACAGACCAAAGCAAGGCAGCCAGCAAAATGGCAATAAGAAGCCAGCCTGGTATCAGACATTAGTCCGTTTCGAGCTTCGAAGGCGCGCCAAGCCCGACTGTAACCGCTAAGATTGATTATTCTGTTTATTTGATCTAAGTCGCGCTAATCCAGATCGCTCCTCCTCCTCATCACTAGTGCAGGACAGTCCACCAACGGCACCACGTGATGAAGTTGCCTGTATTAAATCTTGATCAGGTCCATTCCTGCTCTCATACAGTAAAATTCCCAATGTTTCTTCATATATCCTGGCTTCAGGGAATTCTACTTTAGTGTGCTTTTTGTCAGTAGCATAGACAATGGATGTACAGCAGACTTCTGCGCACTTCTTTCCATGTCCAAAGAATGACCAGCAGCAGATCTCATTTGAGCCAATCACATCCTTTATGAACAATACACGCCCACTGAAGCGCAGTGACAGCTTGTCGAATAGCTCGATATTCTTCAGCAAATTGTCATCTGATGTACTTGTGTATGAATATTTGTTGTTGTGTCTGTTAATCAAGAGTTTGACAACAGGCTGAAAAATGGAAAATTAAATTATTACATATAATGGCTAAAGGAAAAGAATAATACATATTAAACTAATTGGAAAACAATATAATTACCTTAGAAGTTGACATTATTAGCAATTGTTCTTCCTTATGTGAAGTGATCAAAGGAACTCTGCAAATAGGTTCAGCTTCTCGTTCCTTTTTAGCCAACGCCTGCTGACAAGACTCAGTCAGTTCTTCAATTAAAAAGTACTTGGCTTCTGCCAAGAGCTCCATGATTTCACGGTAACTATCTGGCAGGGCAACAGTACCATCACGAAGATAATTCAGTATGGTGCCAAAGTGTTTACCACATCGATCAATGAGTATCCAGCCTGTAAAAATAAAAAGTTTAATGAGTTCTAATAACTATATTCATTTCCTCCAGTCCACGACCTCTGATAAATATGAGATAACAACATTAAATAGAACAAACTACGCATACCTTCCGAATCTGTCAGTACTTCCATCCGGCCACTGAACATCGTTCTCAACATGTTATCGCTCTTGGTCAGTGTACCGATAGTTGTATAGAACAGTGTACCACCCACGTTTAGCTTTACATATTGCGATGGACTGCCTTTTATCAAAGTTTTGTGGTCGCCCGACATTTTAGCAACCAAAAAATAGACTCGACGATGTTCGAATACAATACGAGTTATACGTAATAACGACGACTCGTATTGCAATTTGATCGAAATAATAATTTATTATTTCGTTTTTAAGATCCACTTTTTCACTACATAGTCATGAAAATATTCAGTGAGCTGATAAAATAGAAATTATTTAATTTATTTTCCCAAACCAACACCTAGATTCCCGTAATTATCTTAAATCATTCAAAGAGATTATAGACTTCCACAGACCACCACAGACTGAACATAAAAACAAAAACAAAGACGATAAATACGATTCTTGTCTATGGTTACTATACAAGTTACAATATAAAAGATATTTATTTAGTCGAGTGACAATATTATTTTGAGCTTAGTTCTAGGCAATTTTTTAATTTTCATTTTTTAAGAAATATTAGTTTTTTACTATTACTTTTTTGCTACTCTTGGATCTGCCCAAGATCCAAGAGATGAAGATGAAGAAGAAGAAGAAGGTAATGGTATTTAGCCTAGTAATAGGTAGTATTAGACCTTATAATTTCGATCTCGATCTCCTGATCTCTCGATCTCTGGTTTAGAACGTTATTGACGATTCATAATAAGACTAACTTGATCCTTTATATTTTTCTATATCAATTAGGTAATGTAGGTACGTACCTACTTGCCTAGTAGGTACAAAAAACAAACAAAAGATTCCCCGTAGAAAAAGAAACAAAAGAATTATTTGACGTCTATTATTCTCCATGGGTTAATATAATTGCATTATAAACATAAAAAAATAATATTTTATAACTTTGCGTTCGACATTAATAACTGAGTTTAAGCCCCACAGCAATACCGCGGCTTTTGTAAATAAACTAAACATGGTTCTGTCCCTCAGCTGTCCTTAGACTTCACTTATGTCACATATTTGGCAAATTTGAATCAATTGTTTCGTTTTTTAAATTAACAGACATGTAAAATGTTTTAGTTCTTCGACGCCGGCCAAATCTTTGTGCATCTTCAAACGTTTCCGGTAGTTTTGCATTCAAAGTTTCAGGCAAAAAGAAGGATGTCAAGATTCCACCAAATATTGTCGTTATTATTAGAATAGCACTCTGATAATGTGCACTATAACGACGACCCTGAAAAAAACAGTGATATACCTACTTAAATGTTATTATTTAGACAAAAGTATACCTACTTAAATAACTATAGAAAGCAGATTAGTAGGCCATCTTGGTAATATTTTATATTACGTTTTTTAAACTTGCTTCTGACCGCGGGTTCACCCGCGTTTTATGTTAATATAAACAGCCTATATGTTATGCCAGAGTACCACCTATCTAATAGCATAATTACCAAATTCAACCAAATATCGGTCCAGCAGTTTTCGTGTCAAAGAATAACAAACATACATTTATACATTAACAAACTTTCAATTTTATAACATTAGTAGGACAGTATTAAGTAAGATTGCACGAGGTTTAAAAAACAATATAATTTAAAGAGTAAAACGTACCAGATACAAAATATAAGGAGCTATTGCTCCCGCTCCACCACTCACAACATTGCCTAAAGACATTCCTGTTTGCCTAAGGCACGTTGGATATAGTTCCATGTTGAACAAATTGATTATGTAGTATGAAATAGTAATCGTCAATCTATTTATAAAAACCAATGAACTTCCCAACCATTGTCTATTTAACCAATCTGCAACATCTGAAATTAATTAAATTTTTACTTAACCTGCTGAACTTTGTATACACTGCGTACATATTTGGCCAGTACAATTAAAAGTCACTACATAGTATAAAACAAAGTCGCTTTCCTGTCCCCATTTCCCTATGTATAGGTAGGTACTTAAATATTTAAAACTAAGCATTGGACTTTGATGCAGTTTAAGAAGAGAAGGGTTTAACTAGTGGAGATTTTAAGTAGGTATCAGCATTGCTTCTTTGCGAAGCAGGGGAGGGTGTCTGGTTACTTAAATCAAATTATTTAAGTAGGGTGAACTCATCTAATTCTGTGACTCGCCTAATTCGGTGATATTTGGTTTGAGCGCTATCATAGGGCTATACGAGTGAAATCAAAGGTTTCAAATACAACCTTAAGCCTCAGTAATTAATCTCAAATTCGTATGTAAATTTTGGGGATGCTCGAGTGAGCGAGATAGAAACAGCTAACGGTTTTGTAAGTTCGGGCGCGAATTTCGACGGTTTCCGCAATGGTTGTGAATGGGTCGCCACCCAACTTTGCTTCATGTATATAAGTATTTAACGCATTTTTACTTTTTTTGAATAAAATGGATTGTATATGATATTCCCTTAATGTGGCAGCAAAAAAATCGTCAAAGTTCTGCGTCTTTTTCGTATTAGAGCTTATTTTGTTCGTCAAAAATATTAGTGTTTTAGCGGTTGTGTGGTTTCTGTGCTATCACAGAATTATAGTAGTTAAGTACAAATATTTGTGGTTTTAACTAAAATTATTGACTTATTTTGAGTGTAGTAGACAATATTGATGTTATTTTATTACGTTTATCTGGTCTTAATTAAATTGACGACTTTGAGCCAATATTATATTTTGCTATCACGGAATTAGTTGACACTTTTTTTTGGACTTGTCACGTAATTGCGTGAGTAATTTACCAAATTTCACAGTTTTTTTTATTAATATGAGCTCAACTTTGGGCAGCCGCTAAAATCTTAGCAGGTAGGTACGTATTAATTATTTTAAATTGCAGATTCACTTTCAGATATATTATGGATGACCCCAACAAGAAGAATAGAAAATATTCGGAGATCGATCTCAAAGTTACTTGCCTAATTCCGTTATATCAGAATTAAAGTAGAAGCTATCACGGACTTAAAGAGGTCACCACGGAATTAGGCAAGTTGACTTGGTTTAGTAAATTTGGTATAACTCCTAGGTGTCTAGAAAAAAATCTGATTATTTGTGCTAATATTCCTCATAAAAGACTGATAAAAAACTCATGCTGAGACTGAATTAAATTAGTTAATAATTTACTGGTATTTTGTAACTCAAATGCCTTTGTCACGAAATTAGATGAGTTCACCCTAGGTAGGTACATAATACATTACGTGATACTTACAAATTTCACGAATACCATAAAAAATCCAAATACATGCAGTGATGGCAGTCGAAATAACTCCTGTATATCGTCGACCGATATTATTTGCAAGCCAAGATGCTATGAAGAAACCAGGTATTTCTGCTAAAGATTGCCATGCAAAGTCCAAAAATGGATTTCCGTTGGACTTTTCTGCGGAACTCAATAACACCACGGTATAATTGATGGAAACGCAGACCCTGAAAACAACACAAAATAGAAATAGATTACATTATTACGTACACAATATGTTAGTGGTACTTAGGTAGGTAGTTTTTATGTAACTAAGAGTCTAACAATGGTATGTAACAATTTTTACAATCATGTATTTACCTAAATCGGCGATAGCTATTAAATAAACTTTATAGGTATCTCATACGATCTCTTTGATTCATTTATACATATAAAAAGATATACTTAGGTACTAAGATTGACCTTTATCGTTAACCATCTTAACCGATAAATAATTATTTAATTTTGATTGACTTTCAGTTCTATTTACTATAAAATTATACTCGTTAATAATATTTCTACACGTAAAAGCCAGTTTTACATTTTTCGTTCTAGGAGATATTAGATCAAGACAAAAGTTGATAGAGTTTTAGAAGTTTGTAGGGATCTAAGTAGTAGCGTATTATGTAGGTACTTACCATAAAAACAATTGCAATATAGTGTTAGTAGCTAAGCGCCAACCAGAAAATAATGCCAATGGACCTAAAACCTCTGTTTCATTAGCCTCAGCTACCCCACTTGTAAGTATTTCTTCCTCTGTAGCGGAACTAAGTCTGGTTTTATTTACTTTGGCTATACGCTTGAGATTTTTAATACAGTCCTTTGTTTTTCTATTAACCCAAAGCCACTGTGGTGATTCAATTAATTTCCTGTAAGTATGGGTTTAAATTTTAATGAATGTACCTAAAACATAAACTATTTCGAGACACAGAATTGAATAAAATATAATTGCTTACCAAGAAAATAATAAATAAGGTATCTGCGTTGCCGTAGTGACAATCATAAAAGGTTTCCATTTTCGAAACCACAAGTAAAATATAGGCATTAGACACATTCCGAGGCTCATGGATATTAATCTCAACTTTGCGACACTGGCTCGCCGTTTAGGAGACGATATTTCCAACGATACAATAGCTGTACTTTGCGTAGCTGACCACGATGGTAAAGAAGCTATGATGCAGCCAGTAGCGAATAATACAAATGAAGAACTCGCCAATATTGACATAAAACGACCTATTACTAGCATAGCTAAAGAAATAATGTACGTGAGTCTACGGCCGTACCTGAAAATAAACAAACCAAAAATACAAATTAACCTAAAAGTTGTAAAATACCCTAAAATATACCCCGTTTTCATTATTTCGTCTATTCATTCATTACTTACACGTCTCCATACCACCCGAAGACAAAAGATCCTATAATTTCTCCGATTTTGCTATAAGCAAAAATATTTGCTACGTTTATTTCATTGCTGCAAACCCAATTATTTTCAGATGGGATGGTTGACTCAAACCAGGTGCGGTCGTAGTCGAAAATTTCACATTCTGAAAATAAAGTTTACCTAAGTGTTAGCCTGAGGTGTTAGCATTTAATATCCAATCTCTTAGTATGAAAACAAAAACAAATCAACATGTGTTATGTACTCTATAATAATACTTACATTACCTTTAGTTTTATTCAACTCTTGGCTAGTGTAAATCAAACAGTCACTAAACTTTTTAGCTCCAACAGCATCTTCGAGACTAAATGATAACACAATTGAGAAATAAATTAAAAATAAGTCAACACTAGTGTATGTTACTCAATATTTTACTACCTCATAGATAAAGAATAACAATATCACGCTTACGTTGGAATGTATTTCGACTTCCAATAATATTCAGTCACATTCGTTGGTTTTTGAGGTAGCTTGCAAATATGCGGGGTAATTGTTAACGCCAATATTATATTGTTATACGCCATTGACCACAATCCAGACAGCAAAACATTATAAAAAATATCAAAAGTTATTTGAAATTTTCCTTCTTGACCTACTTCGGCTATCGCGCGCTCGTACAAGGAATCCATCCTACCACTATCACTCTCCTAACACGATTGTACATAAACCAACATCGTGTTTACATTATAATAGGAGATAAAATATCGATACATAAATTATTGGCTAAATTACACATTAATGTTATCTAACAGACAATTTGTTTACTTATCGTCACTTCGTTATTATAAGACGTTAGGTTTTACTGCTTTAGGATCGAATGAAGTGGTTATTTTTGATCATCATTAGGATATAGATTAAACAATTAAGTACTTAAGTAATTATTTACATTATAATTTATCTTGCTGCGGGCTGCTCTTGGCTTTTCAGTCAAAGTAATTGATATAATAACAAGCGATTATGTGTAAGTAATAATATGACATTATGGAACAAGTGTGTAAAGATGGTGGTTACCGAAAAGGTGCATTGGAGCCCGAGCCCTCAGGCGAGGGTCTTAAGGAGCCGAGGACGGTACACCTCTCCTAACTTACCCAAATGAGTTTATCAACAAACAAACATCAGCAATCACCTTATTCACTCACACACACACATTTTACTTTAAATTAATTAAATTTTATACGATTAACATTGCTGGTTGGACTAACCGAAATCATACGAGCCAAACCAAAATCATACGAGCGAACTAAAATCATACAGGACGAACTGAAGTCATACAAGTCAAACCGAAATTGTACAAGCCGAACCGAAATCATACGAGCCGAACCGAAATCAAACGAACCAAACCGAAATCATATGAGCGAACCAAAATCATATGAGCCGAACCGACATCCGATTCCGAATCAGAAAATTAATAATAATATATACTGTACATTACACTACCCATGGCCAAGTTTCTGTTATACATTTCCATCTAAAGGTTGTCTGGAAGAAATCACCTTGTGTGATAAGACCGCCCATTGTAATCACAACATTCGGTCGTAGTATACAATGTATTGCTACTTGGTGTATGTGTGCAATAAAGTATATATAAATATATTTCTATATTTATAGATATATATTTCTCAACATTTTATAAACTGTATAAATAATGTTTTTGATCGGGCCTGCAGGTTGACCTTAAATGGACATAGTTACGAACTACGAACTACTATGTACGAACAAGATATTTGCTTTTAGTCATTTGCCCTTAATTTTTGACAGATGCGGACACCTAAAAGTATGTAGGTTGTGATGCAATTAAATGATTTACAAACGAAATTTTATACAAGTAGGTATGCAGTTTAATATGTCAAAGTCCGATGTGAAACTACTAACCCGACTATGGCGGTTCAATTACAAAACAAATGACTAAGGCTGTTGATTAAGGCTGTTGGACACTCGTACTAAAAAGTAGTAGAGAGGGCGCGCACACTGGGTGTTAATCCTTACTAATATTTTAAATCGGAAAGAGCGTTTGTTTGTTTGCTCCACTTTCACGCTTAACTGCTGAACCGATTGCTTTGAAATTTTGCAAACTTAAACGTAAAGTCTGGATAAAAAATAGGTCTTTTTATCCCGGTAAAAATGTATCGTTATATATTATATTGCAAACGAATATGTACATGTAAAATTCCACGCCAGCGAAGCTGCGGGTGGAAAGCTAGTATTATTTAATTGAAAGACATTGCTTGATTGTTTAACTTAAGTTTAAAAACAAAATTATTCTATTTGTTTATAACACCATAAAAAGCCATTTTAATTAACTACAAAATCGACTAAATTTAGATTTAATGTCACAATAAGCTTAGTTCCGGGGTAAAATATTTTTTTATATGGCAGCCCCGTTCTCAGCGGTTGATTGACTCGGGTTAGCTTGCCGCCTGCGCGTTTTTCGGAGGTTTTCGCGCCTCAATTATTTATTTTATGTAATTAGAATTCATGTTTGTAACATTCCAACATGGGTGCATATTTATCTGAACCTGTTACTGAAAAAGTGTCGAGCGATGAAGCTAACGATAAACTTGAGTGCGGCGCAAGCTCCATGCAGGGATGGCGTGTCAATCAAGAGGTACTATATTGTTTCGTTCAATAAAGGATAAATCAGTATTAGAAACTGCATAAGATTATCTACATCTCCATCATAATAAGCATCTCTCGCGTCATTAAAGGCGTATTTCTAACACTGAGACTCGCCGAAAGTGGTTAGCGCTATTTTATATTGAGCTAGGCGATTGACTATGTCCAATGTCCAAAGCACGAAGTTTCTTGTGAGATTCTTTACTTTAATGCTAATTCGTCTTCTCTACGAGTTGATCAACTAATTTCATCATGAAAATGCACATTATAGTTACGAAGAAGATTTGCACTTCTATAGTTATATTTGTATTCATGCTAACCTTTATCTCTTGTATCCGGTATAACTAGGCTTATTAGTGTGGTATTAGCAGTGCTAATGTGATAGTAATGATATATTTTGCAATTCTAGGATGCACACAACACAATCTTAGAGTATGATTCAAACACCTCACTATTTGCTGTGTATGATGGTCATGGAGGAGCTGAAGTTGCCACTTATTGTTCACAAAACCTGCCAAATTTCATCAAAAACACAGAAGCATATAAAAATGGAGATCTCATAAAAGCTTTGGAAGATGCCTTCCTCGGTTTTGATGCTACTATTGCAACTAAGGAAGTCATGGACATACTGAAAGAATTGGCTGGTAAGACACATTTATTACGTCAACAATATGCATAAATTTGTTGAATTTATAAAATCAATACTTAAAAGAATAAATGTTTAAAAATACAAGCTATATAAATAACTCTGCTGTTAGCTTATTGTAGTTAATTGTGTTGTTTTGTTAAAAATTATAGGTTATAGTAACATAATTTTAGTTTGACAACATACAATATTTGATAAATTACATTTGATAATGAATAAATTATATTTGATAATGTATATCATATATTAACTGAAGTAGGCAGTCTTGAAAATAGACATTTACGAGGACAATGTGGCAGAGGTCAAATGTTTGCATAATGACTTAGAATTACTACACAATATAATTTCAAGAATGAAAGATTTCCTAACTATTAGTATAGACAATGTACCAACCATGATCCTGTTAAAAATCACAGTCCGCATGCATACTGCTGGTCCGTAACCATAGCATTTGTAACATCAAGAGTGCCCTTACTGCTGTGTTGTAGAGGTTCTTTCAATGTCAAACATCTTTTGTAAATATGTATTAACATGGAATATGGTTTTATATTTTATTAAATTATGTCCTTTATTTCCTTGTCTTTACATACTGTTCTCTTCATTTGGGTATTTATGCATCAGCAATATGGGTCTATTCTAGTGTTTCTCTAATCACTCTTTTTAATCAGAGCTATCTCTGTTGATTATGCATAAAAACAACAGCTAACATTATAAATAACCAGTAATTTTTTTAGTAATTTATGCATAGTAAATCAACAAAATGCAATGATTTGTCTTTTGAAGCACCGTGCAAAACACTCCTAAAGTAACAAAACTATGCATTTATTAAAAATAACAATTCCTTTGCAGCTTTTTAAAAGTTAAATACAATTGTTAAATTCCTGTTAACATGTTAAATCACATGTAGACCACACAATTTTTTTTTTATTACTTTATTTTATTTAAATAACTGTTCTAAATGAAATTATTATAGGTGAAATAAATCCTCCAGGCCCCAGTGACAATGAGGAGGAGTCTGAAGACGACAATGTCAGCAACTTATACCAAGAAGCCAGACTTCCATTACAGGTAATAATAATAGACATAATTGATTGGTTCATGAACAAATACATTAAGCAGACTTAATACTAAAGAAATTACACTTAAAAAAATTGCAATTGGTATATAATTCGCAGTGGCTTTTGGTCTGCAATTTCTGTCCATATAATTTATTTAAAGTTTTCTCTTGTTTTACAGGAAGTATTAGCAAAGTATGAGAATAAACTGAGTAGTCTTCACCGAGCGCGTCTTGGTGACACAGCCACACCATTGTCGCCATGTCTCCGTGCTAAGAAGAATACAGATGAGGCTGGCAGCTCAGGTATTACTACTACTATTTCTATTTAACGTTATTAAAATTACAAGTCAATAGTTGAGTGGCTAAGGTTCTTAATTTTATGAAATGTCATATACTTTTTAGGTGCAAGTGGTTCAGGCACAAGTTCATCATTTGCTGCTGGATCAAGTTCAGAACCACCCAGCACTGAAGCATCATCAAGCAAAAATGGTGTATCTTCAGTAAAAGAAGCTGATGAGGACACAGGAGGAGTCTCCTCAACAAACTCTAATGAAGAAGATAAAGATGTGAATGGAGAGGTGAGTTTTCATGTCTAACATGACAAATATTGACAACTAAGAACCATTTAACCTTTATAAGAAAGTGCAAGGGTGGCTCAGGTTTTATTTCACACAAAAAAAACCAAGCCTATAAGAATTTTTCGATATAGGTAATTATATCGAAAATAGATAGTTATTGAGATTATTAAATTATTTTGTTATAATCATATTGCTTTAAAACTAAACTAACTTATTGCTATCTAATTCTTAACAGGTTTCTACTAGCGAGCCTGATGAAAAAGCCAAGGATTCAGTTGCAATGGAGGTAGACAAATCCAACACTACTGCACCAGACAGCTCTGAAGACAATTGCCATCAGCCAGAACAAAGTGCAGATGCTAAAAGTTCACCAGCTAAAGGCAGCAGTGCTCCAGATGCCTGCAATGGTGAAGTTACAGATTCGAAGCAGGTTGATGGTGAGGAAAGTAACATCACATCATCCAATGGCTCAACCACACCATCAAAGGGGAAAGCGAAAGGTTTGTTCACTCTCTTCATTGTTTTAAAATTTTGCTCAGTTAGAGATTGTCCTCAGATTGATTAGCTATTCTTTACTTTCAAACAAAGCTGCAGCAGTGTCAAGTTCAGATGTCAAAGCGCCAAAAGATCCGAAAAGGAGGCGCGCCGCCGCAGCTGTTTACGAGTCCTTACTGCGTCAGGCTGCTGAAGAAGATGATGACGATAGCGACTCGAATGATGAAACCTTCGAAGGAGGAGAGATCAACTCATCTGATGAGGAAAATGTTAATGGTGTTGAGGAGTCATCAAACGATGGTGAGCACTATCCGAGACTACGTGAGACATGATGATCTGAGCAGTTGTTAGGCAGAGCTAATGTTTTACATCTCATTTATAATAGTTTATATATACGACCATCATTTTAACTCAAAAATTTGCAGGAGACGGAGAAGAAGAAGAGGAAGATGATGAACTGGAGGCTGAATCAAGTGATGATGATGGAGAAGAAGATATCTCTATGAATGAAGAACCAGGAAACGATAGTGGCTGCACAGCTGTGGTAGCACTGCTCAGGGGTTAGTATTATCTATAGTTTAAAATTTAATATGCTAAGTTATTGCTTATTAATAATACATACTGTTTTCTGTTTACAGGGAAAGAATTATTTGTGGCTAATGCTGGAGACTCTCGTTGCATCATTTGTAGAGAGGGAAAAGCTATAGACATGTCAATAGACCACAAGCCAGAGGATGCTCCAGAATTAGAAAGGATCACCAAAGCTGGTGGAAAAGTTTCGAATGACGGACGCATTAATGGCGGCTTAAACTTATCACGTGCCATCGGCGACCACTCGTACAAGCAGAACAAAGATTTGGGTGCTAAGGAACAGATGATCACAGCACTGCCTGATGTAAAAACTTTAACAATTGATCCAGAGAAGGATCAGTTCATGGTGCTGGCTTGTGACGGAATATGGAACTTTATGTCTAGTCAAGATGTCTGTGACTTTATTTTGCCAAGGTTAGCCGAAGGTCGCGAACGGCTGTCGCAAATTTGTGAAGAGGTAAGTCACTTTATATGGTAGTGAAATAAAATGTGCATATTTTTATAAATGTAGTTGTCTAATGTTCCCATTATCATATTTCTCCACAGATGTTCGACCACTGCTTAGCACCAAGCACGATGGGCGATGGTACTGGGTGTGACAATATGACAGCTATTATTGTACGATTCAAAGACGGAGTTATCAGTGATGTAGCACAGCATACGAGTCAGGCGGAGGGAGCTAAGAAACGCGCCGCTGAGGAAGAGAATGAAGAAGAGCAACAAGAATCAAAAAGGCAAAAAGTTGATGATACCCTCTCAAGTTCAGTTGTGACTTCGAGTGTCTAAAAACTTAAAAATATAGACAAAAGTGTTCAAACCACGCATAGTATTGTGAAATGTATGGTGAAGACTTTGTTATTTAAATTATGATAAACAGACAGATCATGTCACGTAAGGGTTTCATCGAGCATACACTACTTATTAATTGGTAATAATTTATCATTTATATTGAGCAATGTTTTGCTTCAAATCTCCCTGGTTTTTGAAGACAATGTGTATGCAAACATTTTGAATTAAATTTGTGTTGGTATTGCCTTACCAGTGGCCCAATATTTACGAGTCGCCAGTGTTTTAGAAATAGTTGTGTTTGAATAACTCAATTTGTAGACAAGTAGAAATACAGACGTAGCAAATAATATTGCATGCACATAGCAACATTGCCGTAGTAATGTCAGCAACAGGCATAAATTTAAGTCGACAACATCTAAGCGCGCCACTTTCGAAAGAATTACAAGCATTTATTATATTGAATGGTAGGTAGTTTGTTGCAATTGAATGTGATTGAAATGTACACTTACTACAGTTGTATGACATTTTTTAAGCTTGATAATATTACAAATATTACTTGGGTATTTTCAACATTTGATATTGTACATTGTAGTAAGTTTGCAGCTAAGAGGGAGAGAATTAATGATAAATTCCAGAACTGATTGTTGACGATAGCAACTAGTAAGTAAGCTAAGCTGTAAGTGTAAGTTACAGAATTTAATGTGTATGATCTAATTATTTTGAATCCCACTTAAATATATTACAGAGTAAATAGTTCATTTAGTTGCTAGATTTTGCTTCATTTTACTTTTCGATTATTTCTGAGTCTGTCGTGTTCTTTACAGGCAACAATTACTTTTTACTCAGAAGGCAGCAGAATATGTGCCACTTAATTTAGTTTTTACCTTTTTGAAAAACGACTGTAATTGCGACATCATGAATTAATGTGAATTATTAATATAACCTGACTAATAGTCCAAAAATGGCTGATGAAATCTCAAATATTGATTTGGTGTTTCTAATTAAGCCAGGAACATAATTTGGACGTATTTGGTGTTTGGTAAATGTAAAATTATGACATTGGCATGTTCCTACATAAAAATTAATGTTATTGAATTTGGAATCAAGGGAATGTATCTATATTTCAATTATTTATCTGTGTTACTCTGTAGTAATAAGTAGTTATATTTTTGTAATCACAGGTATTGTAAAATAAACTTAATTCCTACTTATTTCGTGATTAAGTTGAAATATTTTTCAAATTGTGACTTACTTCTTGGTAGAAAAAAATAATTTATTCATTCAATTTCAAGACAATTCGGTTGATCCTGTAACAATATGATTTACAGTTTGACTACAGTGTTATTACAATGTGTGTTTCAGCGAAAATTACATTTTTACCGACTGAAATATAGTTTTATTTTGAATTTAGGAATGGCAAGTCTACTAAAAAGACGTTACGAGTAAAACAATCCGACTGTGTGTCGTTGTTGCTGCAATATAATAGTCTTGGCAGGGCATAAATTTGTGGGAATAGGCGGTTTCGATAGAAAAATAATTTATTTTGAAAATAATTTATTGTTTTGAAATTAATTTGTACTCTTTTTGAATGGACATAATAACAATGGCGTTCACGTTCATGACGAAAGCGGAAGTTTTGAGCTATCTGATTTGAGTTAAGTACTCAATGGTTTCCATTTGAGTGGCTTCTAAAATCTGGAGAGCATCATATTCACTATCCAGTTGTTCTAGTATCATGGATTTGTCATTTATTTCAGCCTGGAAAAATAAATTCATTTCAATCGGGGAATATCATGAAATTACTCCTGATCGTATGGCTGAGGCGAAAGGGAATAACTTACATGCTTTATATTTTAATACTTTTTGTGTTTCTAGTCCCATTTATTGAGGAGGGCTATAAAACCACGCTATAAACTGCAGAAGCCAAGCAGCGGTTGCAACCGCGTGTTAGTAGCTAGTGTTTAATACCTAATTATGATTAAACTTGGCATAATTGATACTTACTTGTAATTTAGCTTGTTCAGCTTCACGTTCTTTAGAAATTGATTTCAATAGGTTCATGGAACCTATGGCAGCCATTTTTTTCTTCTCAACATTTTCACCGAGTTCCTTCAGCACCTCTAGTAGAGTGTTTATAATCTTCCCGAAATCCTGAATTTCTGTAAAGGCAATGAATACCACCACGTTGGTTTTTACCCTGAGTGCCTATGTACTTACCTGCATATGTATATTGGCTCTCGCTAGATGAATTTGGATTGCCACTACCTATATTGTCTTTATGATTTTAATCATAGGTGCAAGAGCCAACTAATGTAACGTTTACGTTACGTTACGGTTAACTACGCTTCTGATGGAAATTGATCAACTATTATTATTATTGGCTACTAACTTGTGTCATAATCCTTGCATGTGTCCTTTAGATCCTCTGTTTCCTTTAGTACGTTGGATTCAATAACTCTGATTTTGTTGATGTCATCATAATATAAATGGACCTTCTGGAGTTCTTCTGCCATGGTATAGAGAGTAGTAATATTCCTTGTTATGCTATATGATAATAACGAAATAGTGAGAATTTAAATAGGTTGTGTTGTTTTGAAAGCGTTGCTTGGCAACGCATCCAACCCGTAAACTTCCCTTTTGCTTACGGTATTTTACCCTATACTGATACTCTTTGAATGAAGAAGTTTTCCTGTCATGAAATTATCCGTGAAATGAGTAATTTTGTAGTAAAATGCTTCTAAAACTGATTTATGTATTAAAGGCAAGTATGAACGATTTTCCTAAAATCCTAAACAGTTGGTAGGATTTTTGGTAGGATTATTCTTCGTGCATTTACAACATTAAAAACGTTGACATTGGTACTGACATCTGTCACTGTCAGCTGAATTGAAGTACATTTTATTGTTTTCCTTTTAAATAACAAATTGAACTCTAAGACTGGGTAGTAGAATTCTTATTAGAAATAACAAAAGTATGGTTCTAAATCAGTGTATTTTTGTTGTGAGATTGTTATTCATTGTTCGAGAATTTTGTAAATTAATCTAAACTTTACTTCAATGTTGTGATAAATATGGAGGGGTTAACACAAAATGAGAAAATCATTTGGTCGTGTTGGAAAGAAAAGTCTCCACGAGATGTGGTCAGGGAGGCGGCTGCCAAAGGTACTCATATCGAACTGGCGATCACCTATCTCAAGGAGAAAAATGGATGGAACGATGCTACTGCCAGGGAATGGTTTCTGGCCGAGGTGAATAACCTTTATATCGCTACAACATCCGAAATAATAATATACGCCCACATGAAATAGTTTAAAATTAATAAGAATAATTGATTATAAAAATTGGCTTTGTGATTTTTTGTTTTGAGCTAAAATTACTATAACATTGAAAATATTTACACAACTGTTCTAGGTTAAAGCATGGACTGTACAGCTGCTATTAAGAAAACAGATATTTAAAGTTTTGCATATTTTGAACAAGGTTAAAATAAGTCCAGAACTACATCTGATGACTTTAGCTCGGGATTCAGCACAGATTGAGTATAGAGATTTTATTGTTGAACATCTTGAGAAGCTGTCCAAAGATATGAATAATGAAACAAAAGAGGAGTGGCTACATTTCAAAAGACATTGGAACCTTCTCCGTTATTTAGAAAACGCATTTGAAAGTGAAGGGACCTTCAAACAGAACAAAGTTTTTGGTATGGGAAAAGACCGCATAGTTGTCAATGAGAGTGAAATTAAGGCTCTGACTATAGATAAAATAGAAAAGTATCCACAGCAATGGAAAAGCAAAATTGCTACAGCACTATTTTTTAATTCATTTGGTGAGTAAAATTTTTCAAAGATTCAATTGATACAACTATGTATTTTACACATGATTCCCTCCTTCAGATAATCTTAAAATATTATTGGAGAAAGTCTCAAAAATATTTATTATGTTTTTTCTGTGTACCCTACATTATCTCAAAAGTGCAGGGTATTACATTATTTTTTTGGTACATTAATTTCCTATGTGTTGGCTATGACTAAAATTACATATTATTTACCTACCATACTCAACACTAATCACTGATAAAGCAAGCCATATATTTTTGTGAACAACCTTATCATAAATAAACATTTCAAAATGTTGAGAATGTTTGCATAAATGGCCTTCAGTATAAAACTAACCTGGGACTATATTATAATAGAATGAAGAACATTATAATGTTCTTCATTCTATCATAAAGTATTTGATGATAAAAAATGTGAACAATAGTATAATTTATTGGATACTTCAATTTCATTATCAAATACATACCTAATTGTAAAGATTTTAATTTTATACAATATTCTTGTTCAAACTTCCCATCACAAGTCTGGAGTCAGTTTTAATTATTTTCTGGCTTGCCTGCTAGAACAAAATTTGAATTATATATATTTTATAATAGATAAAAATATAATAAATATTTTTATTATTTTTCTACACTATGTTTTAAAAGCATCAACAAATGAGGTCATATAGTCCATTAAACACCTAGCATAGACCCATTTTAATAGAGCTATATTATTTTGGACAAGAGCCTGCTTTGCAAGCTATTCATAAACATATAATATGTTCATAGTTCCATTTAGTTAGGTCAATATTTTAAGGCAGTTATCATCATAGAACAACTAAAGACCTACACAAATAATAAACAGGTTATGCAAACATTGTTTATTTATTGATGCTAATGTTCATTATTTATTACTTTCGATAATATTAAGTATATTATTTAAGATTGATACATAAGTTATAATGTTGCACTGTTGCTTTTAGCTTTGATTTTCTGTACATAAAAGTACAATTACAAAAGTAGCTGTAACAAAAGTAAACTGTGTTAGGTATGAAACAAGCACAGCCAATTGTAACTTGTTTTTAGGTAGGACCTACTAATGAATTCTAAAGAAGGTACAACAAGAAATAAGATTTTTGATGTTTCTTTTCCAGAATTCTCTTTACTAGACTTCTCAGCTCCTGTGGAGATGTGGAACTATTTAGTGGAGAACAACAAAGCTATGATCCTGGTCCGTTGGATTAATGTACAGACTTCAGAAGTAGTGCGCGACATGAACGCTAGGTACATCTTCTTCAATAACGAGGGATTTGCTAAGAAACTTCTCAATGTTGACACAGCAGGTTTTGATACACAAGTTTTAGAGAGCTTAGATGAAATTTTCCGCAAATGGCCTGTCACCAATGAAATGATTGAAAATGTTGCAAAAAGCAATTGTTTTGCCTATACCAAACTATGCATTTACGACACATTGGCCTCTTACGGCATTGTGAATGAAAGCGAGAGAAATAATTTGTATTTAATCATATCAAGACTAGCTCGCACACAGAATTTGAAATTAATTGACGACATCTTCACTGAGTCATGTTCCACTATCAGTCGCGAGCACTTCTATGTGGAGCTAGCCAAGTACTGTGTTAAGAATAAGTTATATAAAGTATTGACGTTATGTGTAGAAGGTAATATATTAGACACTGACCTATCTGACATCGAGCAGGAGGCGAAAGATTGCATAGAGCTCTGGTTGTTGTTCAAAAGTATCGAACAAACCTCCGATAAACAGAGCCACGTGCTGCCCGTATACAAAACCTGCGAACAAATCGCTAATGAAAACATTGACGACTATGTTTCCTCTAATCCACATTTAGTGTTAGGAATGATTCTTCTAGAAGACGCCAAAAAGTTATTCGATATATTTTCCACAGAAGACTTTTTACAGTTTAAAGACTTTAAATTGCCAAATAAGATTTACAAAGACAAGCTTCCACATTTGTATAATGTTTACAAGAAATTTGCGGATGCAAACCATACGTATGAATTAAAAGACGTGAATGTGTACCAGTTGCTGTCTGGTTACCGCGGCCTGGATGTGTCCAAAATATTTGAATTTCAACTAGTAAACCAAAATACGAATAGTCTACTTACTGACAAGCCAGATAGACGCAGCCTGGGGAGTCTGTTGTCAAGCGATGTAGATGTAAAATCTGCTAGTATCAAGGCGTTATCCCAAAGAGCTATGGAGATGCCAGATTTTGCGGATGAAAAACTAATGAAAAAGTATGGCTATGTAGCTAAATTGAACCATGTGTATTATTTGAAGCAGTATCGGCCCTGTAATGCTAGCCAGGCATTTGTTTCTCAGCAATATCAGACATACAATCGGTTGCAAGATAAAAGCGTAAAGAGTGCGTGCTGTGAGGCCCACGCGTTAGCTCTGCAGAATTGGTTCGATGGAGCAATGACCGCTTGCACTGTATCGTTTATAGCTATGATAGGATGTAACCCAACACGATGCAGGGTTCACATTTCTGCTGCCAAAATGATAAAGAATCATTTGATGGAGTACAGAGGTTTGTCCGAAGAAAAGGTGAACAAAACAGTCAACGAGTACATGTCGAAACTGATACAGAGTAACGATGAAGCCGCTAAGGAGATGTTACGGTTTATGGAAGAGATAACCTTGAGCAGATTGAATGATAGGCAGAAGCAGGATGGTAAAGTGGACATGGCATTAGTATTGTATGAGTGTCAGACTATGGTCAAGTTCGCTACGCTTCACAACTTGCCGCTACCAGAATTGCAGTTGCGGGAATTCGTGAAGGCCAACTCCTGGTTTAACTTCCTCCTTTTCGGCGATGTATTTCGCTATCCACTCAGTCAGATGCTCCAATTGGCTCAAGAGTTCGAAAAGAAGTCCTATGCGGAACATCTTAAGCATATAATGCTTCATCGAACTGTTGATGAGGGGGTCGAAAAAGAGAGTAAAACTAATGCAAGTAACGGACAGAGGCGAGTTTCGAGATTGAATTCCGTGGAGATTGTAAGTACCTAAAAAGACTAATTTATCTTCTCATTTACCAGCCATTCTGAGTAGTCAATTTTCTTTGTATGAGTCCTCCAAGTAATTTTAATTAAAGTATATTTTAAATGAAGGACTGCTCAGGACAGTGTCTCGGTGATTGCGAAACCTGGTGCTATGCGACACAACAACCTTTTGTAGTGTGTTGTTCACAAATTGTTTTGGGTCTGTTGTGAGTCTAATGTGTATGTTTGTAAACGAACACGACAATGGAGAAAATTCTAGTTTAGGGGCCACATTTAAAAAGGTAATTATTATTGCTTAAAAACTTCCATTATTTCTAGGGTTCTGTCCTCATACAGACTCCTAGTCCGACGCAGGTCGGTAGTTTCGAGTTCCCCTCGAGTGCGTACATGGGGCGGGAGTTATGGGAGGTGGCGGCCGCGTGCCATGGGCCGGAGGACCCACCAGCTGCATTACTGAGGGCTGCTGACATCTGCAGGGAACCACTACTTGTGCTCATTGCAAGTTGCTATGAGGTATGTTTTGTTTAATTTATAACATGTATTTGTTGCCTGTTTGTCTTAAATATAAGGTTCGAGCCTAATTTAGGTTTTGGAAGATCACATAACATAATAAGCAGAAAATCATGACTATATTAAGATCCAGATAGGTGTCTAAGTAGCTTTAGGTACTCCGTAGTAATTGACCTTCGACCTTCGTTCCTAATAGTTGGTGGCTACCAGGGAGGTTTATGTGACGTAAAAATCCTAAAGTTCGTTTTTTAAACCGTAACAAAAAAAAGGTAGCTTTAACATCCATTCCTGAATTCGTGAATGATGTTCCTTCCTACTGGGTAGGCACTGTTTACCTTTTGCTGCCACCTTTGTTAGAACAGATTCCTTTATTTATCGATTAAAAAGTAGTGTGTAACAATAATAAAGTTCCAAATACTGTTCTTTAACCCATGATATCTATACAATGTTTCCTTTTTCGTCTCATATACATGAGGCAGATAAGAGGTGAAAAAGAAAAAATCTTATTAACTTTTTACATCCTGGTTCTTACAGCCTAACGCGGTTGAGATGCTCTGGCCTCAATGGATCCTATCCTCCTTGTCTCTCAGCCCTCGTTCTCAAGGAGTGCTGCAGCAGCTGATGACACAGCAGAACCAGGGAGCCTCGGAACAGTTCCAGAAAGTAGCAGAACTATGTTTATTAGAAGGCTACGTCACCACGCTACATGAAGCTATGCTCATTTTTATGCCGGTGAGTTTTGTATTCCTTAAATATTTTTTATGTCGCCTTTAACCACCAATCCTTCTCCTTCCCCAATCCCTCCTCAATCCCTAAATCTCGAAATCCCTAATCCCTAAAAGGTCGGCAACGCACTCGTAACTCCTCCGTTGCGAGTGTCCATGGGCGGCGCTGATTGCTTACCATCAGGTAATCCGTCTGCTCGTTTGCCGAGCTATTACATTAAAAAAAACCTGTCGAAAGTGGTAATTAGAGACACAATAGGTTTAATGAATTAAAGAGATTTTTCGTCCATAACAGCGAAAATTTTATCCTATACCGGCTACAGAATTGATCCCGAACTCCGTGCTGCAGTCAGTCAGTTACCGTCAGTTCAATATTTTGTTAATTATATGTATAGTGGGCCTATACGTGCCCACCGCTAAAAAAAGGCCTATACTCGCCAGAGAAGGTTTGAGCATTCATCACCACGCTTGCTCAAGGCGGATTGGCAATTTCACATTAACAATTAGAAATAATAAGCCCAGGTTTCGGTTTCGGGACTATGTTTTCCGTCGCTTTTTATCAGCGGTGTTTAAGAAAACGTAGAAGAATTGTATTTAATTGTATATTCTTTTGCAGGAGAGCCCACTAACTCTGTTTACTGCTTTTCTCCAACGTTGTATTCGACATCACAACTTCGATTCCGAAACTACGAAACTTCTCAACAGTTTCCTACAACATGCGCAACGCAAATACAGTTTTGGAGCTAGTGGCGCGCCCTGGCAATTATCCAAGGAGGCCTTGCAAAAAGTTTCGGTATCTTTAATCAAAATAGCGCTCAGCCATAACTTCGATAGCGCTTACCTCCAAAGACAGTTCCTCAAGTGTCTGGCTGATAATCAGTTCGAAAAGGGATTTACAGGTAATAGTAGTAATATAATGTACCAAAGAATCCGTTTGTGAAACGGATTTAAAATAAAAAGAATGGTCATGGAGTTCCTTGCTCGTTCTTTTCCATCGGAATCTGCACGTAGGAACCAGCAAATTGCTTCACTAAGAGGACTGACCGACAGACTGACACTTTGTGTCTTTAAGTTTACTTAAAAGTGCCTAGTAGTAAGGGTCTAGTTGACATAAGTGATTTTCACTTTGTCTTTGAGTAAATATAAAATATTTAATTCATTCAATAAGTATTTTAAAATCGGTTAATTATGAGGATTGTATTATTCCAGTGCCATCACCTAACTTCTCAACACTGTATGAAATACTCAAAATATCAATGGAGACATCGCTAGCAATAAATATATCAAAACTACTTCAAGATGATTCACAAACATATGTAGAAGAATGCGTTCAAATGTACACTGCTAAAAGGGACTATGACGTAGCATTGAAAATCGCAAAGCTATCTGGAGTGCCAGTGAATGGTATTTTGATAGCAGAATGGACTCACAAGTACGAAAATCTTCTTTCACGGGAAGAAATGTTAGAAGACAAGGGAATTACTCTCTTTATTGCTCAATGCAGCGAAGCTTTCAAAAAGGCAACAGTTACTTTCAAGGACGCGACAGAATTTCTTGTTGCCCACGTCAACAACATCACAGATACCGCTCAAAAATTCTACTCGTACAGAATCATAATGAGCTGGTTCGAAGAGAATTTGGAATACGGACGAAGAAGGGAAGAAATCGAACACCTTATGTGGGGCGCTTACTTCAAAAACGAGGCACCGAACGCAATATTCTTGAATAGTTACCAGAGCACAATGCATTTTATAATGAACGGCCAGAAAGACCCGAATATTTCTAAGAAAATCGGTCAGGCAAACGCAGAGAAACCATTTACTATGATGCTGGATGAGATAGAGATCGAGTCTGATGTGAGTAATATAGAGAATGTGGTGTTGTTGGAGGATCCTGAAGCTATAGATAGCTGGAGAAGGGTTATGAATCAGTTGCTAGAGTTGAAGCTCTTGGTTGATGCATTTAGGCTGTCGGCCTTGTTCAAGAGTCCGCCTGAGTTCAGGTACAGGCCCCCAGCCTGTCCTGTACAGATAGTAAGGACCTGTTTGAAGCTTGCAGAAGGTTCTTGCTCACCTTATGAGCTGCCACAGGAGTTGAGGCTAGTAATATCTTCGCCTGTACTACAGAATAAACTTTCAAGTAAGTGTTTAGTAAATTTTCGACATATTTCGTATGAAGTTTGGATATATATTTTTGGTCCGCACTTTTATTAAAAATTATTGAGACTGCACGGTTGACGCAGTGGCTGAGCAATTGGCTGATGGGCAACGTGATGCGGGTTCGATTCCTGCACAAAACAACACTTTGTGAGATCCACAAATTGTTTTTTCGAGTCTCGGTGGCTTGTATATGTGATCGGTATGTTTATAAACTCAACCATGACACAGGAGAAAATCCTAGAGTAGGGCAACGTTTTATTTATAAAAAATCCAAACGCCTAAGTAGAATAAAACTTAAGCTTTTTTATTGTACTTTAATCTAGCAACACCAGCAAAGAAAATGTGAAATTGATCCAATTTAAGTTGCAGAGGATTTTCATGTAGCTTTCTGTTCAGTATCAGGTATATCGGATGCAAGTTTTGAGGAATTGGTAGTGATACAAGAGAAACAAGAGAACGTGCCAGAGAGTGCCCACCTGGCGGCGAGGGAGGAGGCGGACCGGCTGTCAGCGCTCGACGCCTTGGCTGTCAGGAGCGGGTTGACGCTGGCTAAGCAGGTATAGTTAGTTTAGATACAAAATTTAAGGTGTGAAAAAACCTCCATTGTGTAAATAATCCTCTTTTCTAAGTTGTAGTGAAACGGTGTTCTGCAGCGTAAGAGTTTTTTTTAATTATCTAATAAATTTTATTAAAATTATCTTTTCATGCATGAGGGTGCGGTTTCGAAACCTGGCAAGTAACTAGTACTAGAAGTTCCTAGTAGTTATAAGTTTGAAATCGCCAATTCGCCTTGAGTAAGCGTGGTGATTAATGCTCAAATTTTCTCCGTGTGAGATGTGGCCTTTGCTCAGCAGTTGGCCCTTATGGACTTACATTACTACATTTTGAACTTTATTGTTTTGTAATAAGTCTACTTATGTAAAGCAAACAAACTTTTATTTCCAGGTTGCCAGCTACTTCCGCATAGCTCTACAAATAGGATGGGACTACACTTCGGTTTTAAAATATCAGAACCACGCTATAGATTTTATCAACTTAGTGAGTGGACGGGCGCGGATGTCTCTTGCCAATCTGGTCTTCAAAACTTTTAATATACCTACTAAACAGGTAAGTTGTGCTAATTATTATTTTTGACATGTATCACTTATTATTTATTTCAAGGTCATCGTTGGAACTGCTTAATAGGTTAAGAGAAAAACCGTAACGGTTGAGAAAAGAATTCCTGATTAAAGTTTAACATCACGTTATAACATTTAGGAACTTTGGTAAAATCACAGAGAAGATCTAGTGTAGTACAATTTAGTAATACATATATCAATTCAAATTACGCCAAACTTATCTTCATATGACGTCTAGCCAGATTCAATACTTTTATTAAAATGTCAAATATTATACTTTTTTATCGCATACAGGCTTGTGATGTCATCTTATTTTTGCGCCATACGTATTTGCGCAATACTGTTTGTTAAAAATGTGTGAAGTTTTTTTTTTAAATGATGTATGACCAATAGCCCATTATTAAATTAACGCTTGAGTTGAGAAACCTCCTTCTTTTTTTGAAGTCGTTGACTTTATTATTTTCAATTTTCTCAAAACAAGAAATCTATTATAACTTTTACAATTTCTATTCTTTAACCAGGTCGCAGAATACCTTTGCAAGGAGATAGTAGCGGCCATAATATCGCCTCATCTAGTAAAAACATCGACATTCAGACAGAAGGAACATTTCCAATACACTCTATGGGGCTACGCGCTCAACGCGGACATAGAAATGTTCCTCAACATGCGTCCAGACGCTTGCAGTCAAATCGGAAAACTAATCCTGGACCATCTGATCGCTTTCCAAAAAATATACAAATGCTCTAATATATCAGGAACGTCCAAACCTGATAATATGTTAGATGACAACGGACTCGACGTGGAAAATCTTATAGATGAAGAATATCAGAATGTTGAAGGCGATGAAGCAGAGTCAGTGCTGACTGAAGAAGGAACTGTGCTATCAGCCGACACTGAGTCAGTCTACTCAGTGTCTACTGTGTATACTGTGTACTGTAACAAGATGTCTAGAGACTGCCGAAGGAATTTGTTCGATGTGATCACTAAGAATAATGTCCATATTCGCTATGAGGTCAAGTCTAATATCAGGAAGATTACTAAGGGGGCCAAGTTGTCTACTAAGCAGGTACGTTGACTGTCCTTGTATTCATATTGAGTTTAGAAAGATTAAAAGGACACTGTTCCTTGCTTCGCACCAACCGCATGATTTCACTGCACTACCCTATGGTTGACTGTTAGAGTATGCATGCCTTAAAACATTAATTCCGCCATTCAGACTGTTTCATGTGAAGAAGAAATAAATAAATAAATATTTGTAGGTCGTGCTCCCCTTACACAAGATCTATGTTGTGGTGTGTATGAAAAGCTTAGTTTATATCTATCTATAACAACACATGTATTTTTAACACTTACATTTGACAAGTTAAGATACTTTGTCTCTCTCTTTTTCCCTCCCTGTACTAAAATACATCAAGAATTGTATTACAAAACTCCGTAATTTTTTACCTACACAATTAAATTCCAATCCAGATTAACGCTATTGCTAACTTTATTTTACCAGGTGAACATAATCTGCCTCGAGTTGTTAGTACTGGCACATGAATGTTTCGCGTGCGCATGCGACACGGAGGGCGTGGCCACGACGCTGCGGTCTGCGCAGGCGCTGGCGGCGCGACTGCTCGCCTCGCGCTCCTGGAGGCTAATGGTGCGCCTCCTCACTGGGCTGGCGCGGTATACTGAGTGCGCTTACGTCTTTCAGGTCAGTTTTTAGAAATAACAATAAGTATACTAAGTAGTCTGAATTATTCTAAAGTTTGAGACAGAAGACAATTATACGTTTTAAACCACATTTAAACATAAAACAGAAAAAAGAGACACAACAGTACAATAAATTCATTGGACACACACTATATTAAAATTAAATTAAAAATTCTTTATTTCAGACCCATAATAGTCCATAGATTGTTAGTGTATTAGTTACCAAAAAGTTCTTATGTACTATATTAATATTGTTAGTAACCTATAGCTAATTCCACCCAGTGTCTCTGTATCGGATAATCCGGCCTATCAGTAATTATTTTAAACATATACTTATTTAATTTAGTCATGCATTCTTCTCACAAAAGTTCAAACGCTCTAACAGTATTGTCTTATACATCCACAAACATATCGTGAACCGTGCTTGAGTTCAGAGGTACAATAATTTTTGCAATGTGTTTCGTCGTTAGAGCGTGGTTACTGATGGAAGGAGGCTCAACCCGTCTTTCCCCAAATCACTCAAATTACTAATTAATAGGCGTGTTAATAGGCGGCGAAGATTGCTTACCATCAAATGATCTGATCATTTGCTCTATTCCATAAAAAGTAGTCAACATAACATCTCTCAATTTGCAGGCGTTACGAGACAACCATCAATTCGAGTTCCTACTAGGTCAGTTTGACTATATGCTGGGACAACAAGTTGACAAGATAGCTGAGTTCAAACAAGGTCTCCTCGACTTCTTGAAGACACACTGTCCAGGAGATACGGACACTTATATCATGGTCGCGTTACATTTCAATATGTATGCGGAAGCCGCTAATGTTAAGAAAAAACAGGCTCTTAATCTTATTGATGATTTGGAGAAGATGGCGCTCGATTCTGCTAAGGTATGTATTTTGTGCTAAGACATTTTAGGCCAAAAGGGGTGTTTAAAAAATGAAAATGTTTAAAAAAAGAGATGACCTTAATTTTTGCTGTCATTTCTAAACCTTTCGATTATATCCGTTAGTGGAAAAACGAATTTAGGTCAAAATGAAGTAGGTAACTTCCAATCGTATTTAGACGTAACATTTTCTTACTAGTTATATAACTTTTTAACAGGCAACTTCAAAAAAGCCGTTTCAACCGCCAACATGGTTGCAAATCCACGATACTGTCCCAACTAGATCACTTCTTGACACGGCCTTGAACCACTGTACCGATGCAGCCGAGTTATACTTACAAGGAGGTTGTACTGGTTTCGCGGGAGAAATGGCGGCGCTTGCGCAACAAATAGCGCTGCAAATATCCTTACTAAACGCGTCGCCTACAAGACTCATTTTGAACAGAAGTACTGAGCAAATGTATAAGCTTGTCAGCGAGTATTTGAGGTAAGTTATTATTATTATTTAACTGATACCATATGTATATTAAGACAGAATTGATGAAGAAGAATCGAGGAGACGCGCCTTGGTCCTGAAGGACAGCTTGATATAGAAGAATAAATATTAAATTTAATTTTCACTACCAGACACCACGGAAACAGTGATGGAACATATCGTAAAGGAAATCTTAATTTATAATTTCCAAATATAAGTTTGAAATGCCAATCCGCCTTGAGCAAGCGTGGCAATTATTGCTCAAACAATCTTCGTGTGAAAAGAGACCTTTGCTCAGCAGTCAGTCCTTACTTATAGACTGATTTTAATTAAATAAAAAAAAAAATTAAAACTTATTTTCTTTTTCAGTTTCATGGAAGGTCTAGTTCTGTTAGCTGGTCGAGGAGGCGAGGCGTGGCGTGAGCTCGCGTACCGCCGTACCCTGACCAATGACCAGGCGTATTTGAGGGACATGGCCATGTACAGGCCTGATGTCGCACACGACTTCTTAAATAGGTACGTATTGGGTAATTTTGAACGTTTTGTTCTGTAAGTTCTAGCAGACAACTTAGTTTTATTTCTCAAAGCAACGGAGTAGTTACGAGTACGTTGCCAACCCTTTTGGGGATTTAGGGATTGGGGAGGAATTGGGAAGGGTTAGGCAGGGATTGGTTAAGGTGCAGAAACCTCATTCACACGGCGAAACACAACGCTGTGGTCGTTTCATGTCGGTTTACTGTGAGTGCGTGGTATAATTCCGTTCAAGCCGTCCCATTCGTGCCAAAGCATGGCCTTTCCACATCCAAATATTTTTGTTTAAATTTCTTATTAAGCGCAAACATACTTGATCATAATCGAGCAATTAAAAGGTTTTTAGCCTTTTTTAGTTTTTTTTTAACATTAACAAATTCAATTCTAGATATAAAACGGAACGCAACAAGACGCCAGGCTCTCAAGCAGCGATGACTGAGCTTCGTAATCTGTGCAGATGATACAAACTTAAGTGATATACTTCGAGAGGTAGATCTCACCTAATTCATAATGCTCATTTGTAAGTAGACGCTAAGATTCAAATATTGTACCAAATATCATTTATTTTTAATTATTCTTATTATTATATTCTTAATGGTGACTATTAAGGGCTTGTTTGTAAAACTGCATAAGCCTGTTTAAGTTGTTGAATTGATGGTGTAAAACATTGTAATGGATTTTATCTATAACGGCAAGAGATTCTGTCTTTAACTTCCAACTAGCAATGTCAGTTTGACATTGATTAATTACATATTTTTCAAACAGACTTATAGTAAAATTGACTTTGGAAAGATAAATTGACATATGTATTTTTTCAGCTTCTGTGATTTTCACTAAGCAATGTGGTTGTCATTTAATATTTCAAGTCTAAGTAATACACAATTTCTGAAAAGCTGATTAACAGTAATGAACTGATAAATTTCTTGGACAATTATTGTCACTGAGGTGCTAGGAGCGTGCTTTTACTTGGTTTCATATATGGAGGCTTATTGGCATTTCCAGTTACCTAATTGTAGTGACGATAGAAAATTGTAACAATATCTATTTATTTACGAATCAAACAATAAAGTCTGTATGTTATAAAAGTACATGGACAATCGAGGCCCGCACGGTATTTTTTTCTGAATATGAAACCTGAAAGCTAGATTGATTTTTCCTTACTTAAACCCTTGTTCAATTATATCGAAATAATAGAAGCCGTTTTCGAGATTCTCTGAATATGCATACAAGAGTTTTTCGTTCAAAGGTATAAGACAAATGTAGCACTTTTTTGTCAAGAATTAAGGAGGCGTTGATTATTTCTTTTGCTTATTTTGGTCTTAATTGCTTAGTATGTTGTGAAAAGAAGTTTAAGTCGTTTGATTTTATCACCATGGCAACAGACCTATTGTTAATTGATTATTGTTTTGACCAGCCTTTCAGAAACTAGCTGGAAGTTCCGAATAGTAACAAAGAAACACAGATTGCTTCTTGAATTTAGCGGAAAATGCTTATAAGCGTTATTTTGAATGTTATTTTTGATTTCAAATTTTATTAAAAAGATGTATTTTAAATCGATCGCTGTGATAATATATTTTGACTCGACTGATGAATTTAAGTGTATTTTTGTATCGTGTTTAATAATATTAATATAAAATATTGAAATGAGTTTGTTATTAATGATGTAATCAGTTTCGAAATTAATTTGTAATCACTATGCTATTTAAATCAAGCGAGAAGATTCAAGCATTTGTATAAGCAATTTTAGATGCTTTAAGCTTTAACACAAAGAGCAGTAAGGTTTTTATTCGCTTGAACGTTAAATTGTAGAAATACTATTATTACCAATAATATAAATTTTAATAATTTTGTAACGAACTTATTTATAAGACGATATTCTGGTCGAAGGATGTTTATATATAAAAAAGTGCGATACTTAAAATAGATTTTATTTATAAATTAAAACAAAACCCAACACAAGACATTGGCTAAACTCTATTACATAGGTGACAGAGATAATAAAGCCCTAATTTAGGGTACAAGTGAAAAGAACACTGGTTCTTCTAATACTTGATTACACGTCGCGTCAGTACCAATTCGTATAAACTATGAAAATACAAAGAATAAAATGTTTTAAGTAACATATCCGCGGTACTGAACGCTAAAACAACATTATATACAAACATACAGAAGTTTTTATTATAAAATATATTCTACTAACAACTTGTCACATAGTATTTTGAGATTGACTTAACTTTAATATAGATATATATTATCATATTTAACGTATCCAAATATTTTACTATGTAAAATTGAAAGCTGCACCAAGAAAAGGCATTATAGTGTTTTGTATTATCACGCAATTTTGTTGAAAATCTTCATAGCTTATGATAGTTAAATTTTTTAAGGTATATAGTAAAAATACTTGTTGCCTTCGAAGATATTCTTTTTCTCAGCACAGCTCAAATAAAAGAGTATTTAAAAAAGTAAAAATAAAACCGACAATAATACTCTCACGGACTGTGAACTACAGAATACAAATTGGAATGTAAAATTATTCAAAGTTAAATGCTTTATTTACATAAAATATCACCTAAAAGTGAAGTCAGAGTATATTTTTATCAAGTCACAATAATTTTGTTCCCGAGGTTCAGGTTAATTTACAAGAAATATTCAAAACAGACCTTAATTGAATTAATGTAGGTCCCTAAGACAATATGATTATTAACGAGGCCTACTTACTTACGTTCGAAATTGGAATTGCATTTCGATAAACTTTTAAAAAGCATAGACAAAACAGCAGAGTTGTGTAGAAAATTAAAAACCTGCGACCTCTTTGATCAAAGTTGACAGGATTTATATGTATTATTATAAATCTCTTAGTTTTTTCACAAGTCTATAATTAAATGAAGTATTATTTAATTGATTAAGTATACAACAGTTTGATCGCTTGGTAGCGAAGGGAAAATTTATTGAAATATTCCTAAGGCGTCTTAAGTTTACAAAAATACATCTTTAAAAATATTTTTACAGATAGAGTTTTTGTAAGCAATGACAATAATTTATTCTTAAATGTACTTACATTAATGTTACTATTATGCAATGTAGATAATTTATTACATAATTGACTTCGGTAACGTTTTAAGCTACTTCTACTGTCTAGTTATTGTACTTAGTGGTAGCTGTGCAAGTCTTTTGCCCAAAAACTCAAACACCACTCAACTTAATGACGTAGATTGTAGATAGATGGGCAATTACAGTATACCTACCCACTCAACCGGTAGTTCATGTTACAACTTTAGTATTATTGTGGAAGCCATTACCAAAATTTGAATAATAAATTCAAGACTCTGTCTTTTTTAAATTGATAGATACAATTGACGATGTTGTGTGGCGTTTCAGTATTTGGGCGTCAAAATAAACAAATTTAAAACAGCAACGAATGAAATAAGAATTTCAAAACTGACCTACAGTGAAGTGAAGTTTAGTAATATTCATCTCATAACGCATAGATGGCGTGGCGTACGTTAATGGGGTTAATACAACATGTAATTATATAGGTACATACCTCTTTATAGATGTCAATACTTATTTAAAAAAGGCTTTTAGCCAACATTTCTACTGATTATTGCCTCTATAAATGGGTATAATTTTAATTATAATAAAATTTTAATTATATTTAAAACACCAAAGACGGTTTCAAACTACGTAAATAGACAAAGATCGGTAGAGAACATAATTATAATTAGGTATTCCAACCAACACTTTGGCAGTAGACTTTATACAAAGAAACTTACTTAAATCGAAATAAAATTGCTTTTTTTGAGCAAATAAATTGTTTGTTTTAACAATTTAAAATAAAATTGAAGAGAGGAACAGTAGTAGACTTCAAATAAAACGTTTTTAACGTTGATATGTTAAACATTGGGACGAGGTAAGTATAGTTCCCTAAAACTTCGAAATGATGAATTTCTGGCGAGTAAAAAGGAAATGGCATATACTGACGGAAATTGCAACTTTAAGTAGATAGAAAAGCATGGCCAAGTACACGAAGGCTTATCACTTTGTTTTAATCAGAAATAAACACTTTTAAATGCTTAACAATTTCTCCCAATAATACGCCAGAACCGACTTGAAACTTAAACAATAAACTTACACTAAAAATTATGTACAAAATAATAATATATAGTACGGACAAATAATCTTGGTCTGTTTGAAGTGATTGGTTTAAAGAGAGAGCGAGACGTATAGCTCGTTTTATCTCGAGAGCGATAAAGACAACTATATATCTCTAGTACTGCAAAGATACCAAGTTATTTTGTTCGTATTATACTTAGTTACCGTTGCGGTATTTGCATACATGCACAAACATCACTTAACTTTAATATTTTCATACTATCATCACAGTCTTCTCACAGGTCCTTAAACTAATCTACGAGTTGATTTTGACACTGGTTCGGTCAATAATATCAATTATATTGAAAATCCTGATTATTTTAAAGTATGTATTTACAGAATTTATAGGCATATGAGTCAGGCTTAGGAACGATTAAATAAAATCACAATGTCATGTCTTATAGCTCTGGGATCGTCATGAAAATATATTTTAATAAAGTACTCTTATTTTGTTGTTTTTGCCAATTCATTTTTATGCTGTGCTATCACACTTGGACAATGATTTGCACAAAAATATTCCTTATTTCATATCTGGTTCTTTCACAGGACTTCATTTGACTGGATGTTGGCAGATTTTTACGAGTTCAAAAATAATGACTAATTTATTGGGCAATAATATTTGGGCAAGTAACGTTTTCGAATGTAGGCAAAGTTTATCGAGCTCTTACAGTTTTTTAAATCTACTTGAGTAATCAGCCCATTCTGTTACTCAGGAATACTCGAAGGCCAATAAAATTGTATGTGTTTTTGACACTATGCTATTACTTGTCACATGTTTTGAATATCTAAAAGTTTTACATGCTCGAATTTAAATCTTGTCTGTGAAGAATTATAAAGTTAAAACATCCACTTTGTACTTCAATATTTTGACCAAAATCTTCCTTAGTAGAAGAATTTGCTTTATTAACAGTATTTCTTATGCCTATTTGGTGTAGTTAGATAGTACATTCATTCATTAGCTATCTACATCAGAACATTTTAAATGTCGTATAAATTAAGCCTTGATTTTTAGGCTGTTGAGAAGAACGGCTTATTTTGCACTATTTTGTTCATAGTCTTTTAAGTTCTAACAGCACATATTTTATGTGTCCGTTTGTCACTTTTTTCTACTCACAGTCTAAACGGTCTGCGTGATCCTATAGCGATGTCTTTCTTCTAGCACGGTCCGTATGGTGCGATGAACGTTTTCTGGTAGATGGTCAAGTAACATACGCGGCATTACTTGCAGTTCCATGAAGTCCTCAGGACACGCCCACCTCATCTCGTACGTTGGTTCTGTTGTGCGCACTTTCCTGTAAAGTAAAATGTTTATAACATCGTACCTATTGGTTATTTCCAGTAATTAATACATTACGGTGTCTTTACATATGTAATTTAAAGTAGAATATGTATTAAAGTGTGTGATCAAATTACATGTAAAGACTTTGCAAATTTTTCGTTTATATTAGATGGCGCCACCGGTGATAATAGGCTGGAAGTCCTATAAATAGGCGTCAAAACATTTTTGGACTTCTGCCAAGACTGGAGGAGGAAATTCATCAACGATAGTCACAAAATAGATATATAGGTACTAACTAGCGACCCGCCCTGGCTTTCACGTGTGCAATGCTAATGCTGGATACATATAAACTTTCCTATTAGAAGAACTGCATCAAAATCTGTTGCGTAGTTTTAAAGATTTAAGCATACATAGAGAAAATAACTTTGTTTCATACTAAGTAGTGATTAAACAACGTGATAAATTTACCTTTCCTCTCCTCCTTCATCGCTGTAGTAAGACATGCGAAAAACGTGTGAATAGAAATTAGCGTACCGAAAATTGTGTATTATACAAAGCGAACTTTGTAAATAAATAAAAAAAATACTATAAAAAGGTACGTTACAATACGGTAGTTTCCAACTAGTCAAATTCAATACTTTTATCCAAATGTCAAAAGCTGAGTTATGACGTTATAGTTTTTTGCGTCAAATAGCTTACTTATTTCTTAATAATTAGTTTATAAATATCTAAAATTTTGTGTATCGATTGCTCGATGAATAAAAGTATTCATTTTTCAATATTTTACTGTATTTAAACGTCGAATTAATTTATTTTTGACCTAGGAAACTACTCAATTATCAATATATTTGCGAATTTACTTAAAATAGTGTAACTTTTTTCGCGTGAAATGGTGTTTTAGCATCAAAGGTGGGTATTTCTTATACAATTTATTGTTGATTTTGCATAATAAATAATAGTGGTAATGTACTTACTTCTCGATACCCATGCGCTTGCGTCGCACGATGTGAAGTATTCTGCCCGGAGTGAATAGTCTTGCTGAGGAAAAGCGACGCGCGAACACGTCTCGTGAAACTAACGCTGCTTCCTATAACACATATAGTTATTTAATGTTACTATTTTTTAATTAGAAAATTCTTGGGATTAATGTGAAATCAACAAAAAGTTACAACCAAAATTGAATTTAAACGGCCGCCGTTTTCAATCGGGGTTGCAAGCGCAATTATATAACGCGAACCCGACCCTGAGTAAGGAACGGGGTGACTTATAGTCAGTAAGAGTCTGACAATTCTCGCCCTACCCAAGGCAAAAGTAATTTGATGATTTGCCCCTCTCAAAAGAAGACCTACCTACTTGACTCCACAATGTCGAATTTGTACATGTTTCGCATAAATAAAAAATAAGGTTGTAGGTGACTCTTTCATTTTACTTTTTTTTCTTCCAGGTTTTGTTTTGTTAACCCTATAAGTACATTTACGAACTAATGAAATTATTGACATTATACTGTCTTTTTGAAACGTCGTCGTGGTAAACAATTTTCCGTTATGAATTTTTCGGAGCCGTTTGCGTAATTATTTCTTGTTTTCTTCTTGCCTTCTGGTGTGTTAGGTTTATTAGTTACAATATTATAATAATAGTTACCCAAATATCAATCACAAACCAATATTTTCTACATAATTATAGTTAAATGTGCAAAGCTAGTTACTAAACAACAAAATTTACTTAGCATAATTATTTCTAGAATAATTTTATATTCCGCAACCAAACGTTAAAAAATTATAATACACAACACTCAATGCAAACCAAAGAGAAAATTAAAAAATTAAAAACATAAATGAACGATAGTATAATGTCTTATAGTTTTTGCTTTTTTGTGTAGCTAGGTACTTAAGTATATCAATTGTGTGATAATAATGAAATTCTTTATTTAAAAGTAATCTCTTGTTATTCTGACATCGTTAGATTGTTAACAAACTCTAAAACGAATTAGATGAAGGTTAAAAAACGTTATTTTGTTTATGGTTAATCACTTGACGAGGTACCTATGTGAAAAATTAATAAAGTTAAGTAGTCAGTAAATATACCTGAGTAGAAATGCTAAGTAGGCACCTACATACATATATGTAGTAATTTAAAACAAATTGTTAATACATACACACGTTTCTTGCAACTCTCAACTGTAGGTACTGTCCAAGATAGAAGAGATGTGGTGAAACAGAACATTAAATAAAATAAAAATAAGCCTTACCACTACACGAAAACAAACAAGCCAAGGATCACTGAAGCGTCACACTCTAAATAAAAAGATGTTAACTGACAGCACTCACTGTGGACACGCTATGGACCAGTAGCGCGTCGGCGGAGTCATCCGAATTTTGCGCCTCCAACTGTTCCGGCCGCCGCCATGTTGATTCTAGATCCCGCGCGGGAACCCCGAATAACGCGTAGCCGAAGCCGTTCAGCATTATCCGGTACTGCAATGAAACAATGAAACAATGATTTTATTTTTGCAAATAGGCCATAAAATGGCACTTTTACAGTCAATTTATATGTGAAAAACTAGATGACGACGGCATTTCCTATCTGACTATTGTGAGAAGAAATGCCGAAACATACTCAGGAAGCTATAATAGGAGAGCAAGCTATAAAATGCAAGATATGAACCGGGGTTCCGGGGCAAGCGCAATAAGGCACCACGGCCTCGGCCAAGAGCAGGAGAAGGAACGGGGCGGTTTTTAGTCAGTAAGAGTCTTACATCCCTTCTCGCCCTGGGCGGGAAAAGTCATTTGATAACTTTCCCCTCACATAAAAAACGACAGTAATATTAATACAAGTAAAGCTAAAAAAGTTGCGTGGTTGCGGGTAAAGCGCGATGATATACCGGGGTCCCGACTAACAGCAAGAGAAGGACCGGGGTTGCTTTTTGTGAATAAGAATCTGACATTTCCACCCATCGCGAGAGAAGACATTTGATGACGTTTATCCCTTAAAAAGACCTCGTTTTTTATCTTTATCTTAATAAAAAACAAAAATGTTTACTTAGGGGTTTTCTCAGGGTTTTCAATCGAAAGGAAAGTCAAACTCATGTAAAAATGCTGTATTACCCGCCGAGTACTTCAGTGTCCTGTACTGACACTATTCTGACACTGTCATGTACACTATTAGGTACTTAACTAGTAAGTTCACTTAACTAGTAAGTTCAGTACTTAATAGTGTAAACATATAGCATTATTTTTTACCTTAGGCAATTTAGTAGCATGAATGGTCTGTATGATCTTCGTCCTGAGGTTCTCGATGCTGTGAACGGAAAGCCTCATCACCAGGTCGTCACCAACGCCCACGGTCATCACGAACGATTCTGTGAACCGCGCAGCTTCCCGGCTTATGAGCCCAGCTGGAAGTTGAATATTCAAATCAGTTAATTGCTAGGTTTACCGTAAAACGTACGCTAAAAATAGACTCTGTGTTATGGTAATTTTATGCAAAATCGAGGCTCCGTTTTGATTCTCAACGTTCTATTTTTGAAATGAATTAATTTTGGTAACGGAACTTTGTTGCCATGATAAATATACCTACTTAGTAGAGTATAATATACATATATAAGGCTATTAAACTGTGATAAAGGTCAGTAAAGATAAAAGACGATTAGGACAACCCGGTGTATACTTAAAGAGAAAAGTACCTTTTCTTAATTAGTAGCATAATTAATTACAGTAATGACCAAACTAAACTTGTCGTAATTTAAGCTCTTAAGACAACAAAGGAGGGTGGATTATAAAGGAATAAAAAATATTTGTCCAAACCAGCACCCACGGACCACATATTTTAACTTTGTAAAAATTAAACGCGGGCGAAGAGAGGGTTGAAAATTTTAAATTCCTAACTTGGCCAGCTATATTAATGTTGGTCGCATTTGTATTTTAGAACAAAAAAGGACGCTATTTGAGTACTCTTAAATTAGTGGAATTACCAACAGTAGCATTTAGCGGTCGTTAAGGTACAATTAGGTTCATTTTTCATTGCGGCATTTTAGGTTGCTATGCAAATTAAAAATTATTCACCTGGTGTTGAGAAGGCGAATACTTTGAGGTGTGGGTATCTCGGCCTTAATTTTAATGCTACTAATACTGCCACTCCTGCGCCGAGACTGTGACCTGGAAAAAAATAAACAATCATGTTAAAAAATCTTGTCTCTTCAAAATTTACAATTCCTTGAAACTTTTTCGTAATTATTTTCATTAATTACTTTTTATTAGGTTGTGGTTTTTAAGTACTATTAAAGGAAATGCATTTATGTTTCACAACTTTGACAGTTTTTATTGTCTTGTAAAAACGAACTAAAGTATATTTAAAATACCTAGGTCTATGAGTGCTTATATCGACTCAGTATCTATGTACATCAAGGATTTGACTAGAAAAAGTACTGCATGCCGAATTTTTTTCAATGTCTAGATGAAATGAGCCACCCTATTGTTAATATTGAACTTTTGGCATTAATATATGTATTATATGTACCAGTTAAAACGAGGTCGTATTGAGGATACTGTGCGAAGGCTCGGTCCAACACGGGCAGGAGACGTTTCAGCATCTTTGCAGCACCCATGGACATACCCTTGTGAGCTGCTGTGTCTTCTGGCAGACCTATAGCACATAAACATTCCATATATCAAATTACAAGCTTTATTTTTAGAAAAAAAAATCAATGGTAAACTTGCGATGCATTTCACGGCTGGACAACACGTACTTAAAAGAGGTGAAATTTTTAGTTTGTTAGTTTGTATGTAGGGAGCAATCTTTGGAACCGCTAGTCGGTTTTCCAAAATATAAAATCACTGATAGATAGCTACAGTGTTCCAGTGTTCTTATGTGCTAAAGGCTAGAAATATAAAACATCACGCTGCGATATATAGGATCCGAGCAGCGAGTAAAACCGAACGAGAGTAGTAGTAATAATATTATTAAACATGTTTCCATAAGACATGTGTATTAAGAAATCTCCTCAGGTGGGTAGGCAGACGACGACAGTTGAAATCTTAAAGAAATCAAATTCTCACCATCGGCTTCAAACCGCTCCGATCCAGCAGTGAAGTCAGTGAAGATATCCCTCAAAGAGATGGAACCCCTCACAGCCACCACGATGCTCTCACGTTCATGGTCTGCTATCACGCAGAAAGGTAGCTGAAGAAATGAAAAGCATCGTTAGCTATACCATCATCAGCCTATACGAGCTCACAAAGATATATCCTCTCGCAATACCCAAGGCGGGAGATGGATTCAGGTTCTTTTACTCCACAAGAATACCATGTACGTATAGAAAGGCCTATTACTTGCTGCTCCATTTACGGTGGTCAGGTCAAAGCAATGAAACCCGGTAGTCGACAATAAAGCCTTAGGAAGGACATAACGGTATGTCATAAACACCCACCTAGTTCTTCAGATAAACCTGGAGTTATTTAGTACCGTTTACGTTGTAGATAAATAAATAAACTATTGTACACCATTTAATTTAGGTACAGTTTGAATAAATTATAAAATTGGATTTTTCTATTCTAGATATTTTTTTTTACTTGCTATAAATTAGTGCTTGACTGCGATCCCACCTGGTGGTAAGCAGTGATGCGATCGTTGATGGTGAGGCACACTAGTTTATTAAGAGCCTATTCACTCTAGCCTGGAAGACACCTAAATTATATTCGGACGGAAATACTGCAGCCGGCAAACTGTTCCAATCCCTCGATGTACGCGGTATAAATGAAGAGGCAAAACGCTTAGTCCGGGCCGCAGGTGTCTCAACAACGTAAGGGTGGATATTTGCCGTACGCCGGGATGTCCGAAGGTGAAATGGGGATGGCGGAATCAAATCGAGAGAAACTTAGTTTAGCATTCAGCAACAATGGCATTAGTAAAGAAGAATTATGAATGTTTTAAATAATAGTCTCTGCCAGCGGCTTTGCCTGCTGTACCAAAGTCAAACGTAGTCTAAGTATGTGTTATTCCAGATCTATATTATTTTAATTCCAAATTATACCTATGCCGAAACTATACATCCATATATTATATCAGTAGGGATTCCGTCTAGTTCCTAAGGCTCTCAACTTAGTGTTATTTTTTAAAAATTTGGAAGATTATCAAACGTTGTGTAATGGACACGAATAAGCTTCTTTTTATCTGAAAGACATGTTCTGGACCAAAAGACCACGTGATACAGTCATAAAAAAAATCAATGCTGACAATAAATTACCTAGTGATTTTGAATGGCTTTAAAAATAACTGCATTGTGTATGTCTCAGGAGATTTCACGGTCACACCGTGTTTACAAAAGCGAGTCATCGGTGACTGCATGTCGCGTAAGCATCGGAATGAATCACTGACATTGTGATATTTTTAATCCAAGCTTTTTTTATAGAAAGCTAATCGTGTGTACAGGTGTAGTTTTAAATAGTTATCATTTGTGTGGTGGCGGCACCCGCTTCTCATGGGTTCGAAACCTGGCAAGTAATAGCGTCATTTTTTCCAATTCATATGTACTTCCTAAGTTCATTTAGACACCACAGAACTATGACAAGAAAAACAACGAGAAGAAACCTGGACTTATAATTTTTGATAAATAATTCTGATTAATGCTCAAATCTTTTCCGTTTGGGAAGAGGCCTTTGCTCAGCAGTGGGCACTAATAGGCTGATGATGATGACGTGATGTTGGTGATATAAAATATTTATTTCTGTCAGCGGCTTCACCTACTATACCAGGGTCAAAAGCCTATGTGTTATTCTAGACCATAATCTATGTATATCTGTGCCATATTCCATTCTTATCCGTTACTTTTAAATGTAAAAGTAGTAACAATAAACAATACTTACAAACTTATGCGTTTATAATATTAATTAGATCTTCTTAATTAATTGCTCCTAAGATGATGATATTGCAAAGTACTCAGCTGTCTACACAAGCAATCAATCCACGCGTCACCGTAGCGACTAAGAAATTAATCCGTTTTTAATTTTCTTGGGATTAATTAACGACAATCTTTTAAACCTCTTTTCGAAATATTAGGGTTGAGATTTTGAAACAATTCTGTAATACCTGGTCTATCTATTTATTCTTATAGCGATTATTGAGAATTATTGAGTAACAATTTGGACAGGTATAAGTCTATATTGTAACAACACGAACCAAATTTCAACCCTATTGTCTTAAGAAATAAAGCCAAATTACAAAATACCTAACCACACAGTGAAAAGTGGAAAGAGGTGTGAAAAACGGGGCAATCGAGTGTAGTACGTACTTCAAATACTCGGTTGTTGAATGAAGCGAAGATGATATCATCCGCAGCTAGGTTCGACATATACTTCACGCCGGCGAAGTTGCACATACAGCAGTTGTCGTCTGTCACTATACTGTTTTTAGGCCTGTGAACAAAAAAACATTAATAAATTAATATAATACAGAAAGAAAACATTGACTTCAGCGTTGTGTTTCGCCGTGTGTAACTGAGATTACCCGAGGCTCAATCCCTCCCGCTCCCCCCATCAATTCCCAATCCTTAAAACTCCGAAACCCGAAACTCCCCAAAAGGTCGGCAACGCACTTATTCCTTTGGTTCTATTACTTACCATCAGGTAATCCGCCTGCTCGTTTGCCGACCCATCCCATAAAAAAAGAAAAAGCGTGTATCAGATTAATATACCTTTATCTAGCCCAGATTTAACTATTGCTCCGCCTCCTAAATAAAATTAACTATCAAACACAAAGAATTTTCCTTAATTAGACCCAGTAGTTCCCGACAAATAAACTACAGTGATCAAACAAACTACTTCGATTCAATTGATTACGCACTTTGAATTATAAAGATCAAGACTAGATTATGATAGAGGAGATGTAGGTAAGACAAGGGATAACAATCAGATGACTGAAAAAGGGGAAATGAAGAAAAGAAGAAAGCATTGTTACGTACATATTGAACACAGGGCCAATAGCCAAAAGGAAAACATCTGGACATCTGAATGCAATCACCATTATAAATAGCAATATACGACACTAACTATTTTCGCCCGGTTGGACTCATTGCTCAGCTGCCGTTCCTATTGGTCAAAGCATGATCTTTTATAACTAACAGCTTCGTTAATAGACTATCCAACACAAAAATAATTTCTCTTTTCGAGCCACTACTTCTTAAGATTAAATTCTTCAGCTTTCCAATGTAGATTGATTAATGACGGTACGTAGATGTTAACAGCAGCCTGTTAGGAGCCTGTTTCAGTAGAAATTTCCAAAATTACTTGGTGTATAGATCTAAAATATGTTTTAACGTTGCACAGACATTGTTTAGTTCCACTAAAGCCTGAACCTAATTGAAATTTCTATTCAGCAGTGCGTGGGTTGTGGTTTCACACAGAACCAACTAGGTAGGCGGGTTATACTACTATGGTAGCTTCAGCTATCTTCATTTAGAATTCGAATTTTTGTTGTTAAGTTATTTTAGGTACGCATTATCATTTTCTTTTAAAGTTCATAATCAGTGGGTTTGAAACTAAAATACTTTCATTAACTTTTAAACTTTCTTCTCTCAAGTAAGGGTTCAAACTTAAGATTGACTTTTGAACTTTGAAGAAAGTTTGTGGCAAGAATAATTTTGTGGAACGATATGAATTAAGAAGAGGTGAGGGTAAGCTACATGGAAACGTATCATTCAGGTAGTGGTTAATGTTATCAGAATTTATTTATTCTAGGTTTTAATTACTTAAGTGATATTAGTTTCTGCAAGCGGCTGCGGCTTTATATGTAGTACTAGGGTAAAATAGTAAAATAGTAGCCTATTTGTTATTCCAGACTACAGTTTATCTTTGACTTAACTTTACTTGGTATCTGGTGTGTGCGGTTGCTGGGCTCCGCGCATTGTGTCGCGGGTTTCGATTACTGAACAACAGAAAAACTTTTTATGTGATCCACAAATTGTTGTTCCGGGTCTGGGTGTTATGTGCATGTAAATTGTATATTCGTATTCGTAAACGCACCCACGACACATGATACAATCCTAGAGTGGGGCAACTTAATTTTTAATAAATAAAAACGTAATTGAAAAGTAAAATGTCATTTAGTTCCGATAAGTAGTTTTTACGCGTTTATAATATTATAGTAGTATTAAGTGTACAAATAATAAACAATAAAGCACTTCTTGATAAGATACTGCATCATAGGAAAATAATTAACTGACCATGAGCAAATGAGTGATATTTGTCTCCACGGAAGTACCTACACTTAAAACTTGTGCTCCTGTGAATTACAGGAAAGTTTATTCAACCACTCCGAATTCGATATAGCGAAGTTTTGAAAAGTCTGCCAAAACTACCACAAAGATAATAGACACCAAACTACAATGAAAGACGAACAAAATTAGATGATCTATCTCAAATTTTAGCAAAAGCATCTGTCAAAACTTGCTAAAGACCGTTGTAATCGGTTAGGAAATAAATTGAATCGGTTTTCCGACGACGGCAACGGGAAAATTGTGTTAAATTTTCCCAAGTTGAGTTTGTTAATTAATATGAAACCCAATCTTGTCACGGCATCAAATGAAATGGCGGCTGAAGCTTAAAGCGGTTACGAATTCAATTTTTAAAATGCGCTTCGCAGCTCTTTGTCAAGGTCAGCCATATTGATTTTTCGTATGCAAATTATGTACATAATACGTGTGTTTTATATGCTTTCGACCTCACCTTGTTTTATAATATAATGAATTAATTTCAATGTAATAACATTACAGCTTTTGTTTTTTTTCAGCGGCTTGGGCAGAGGTGTCTTTTTAATAAGCACAAACAATTGGTGCTATGGAAGATTTTGGTAACGCGTAATTTACTGTGTCTGGACAGTGGAGTTATCATATTAATGCCCAGGGCCCAGGGACAATATCCACGTTTTTTTGCTAATGCTTACGTTATATAAACTGAGATCTCGCTATCTCATAACTTCTGAAGGTTCTGTTCTATTCACCGCTCGGCTAAAGAAAGTCTGCCCATACTCATAAATTTTACCCTTTTATAATTCGTTCTAAAATTGATCGTTTGATAGTATCATAGTTAAAGGTATTATTTTGTAAAATAGGCTTAAACTATTAAGCTGTCACGCGTCCGGCAACAGAGTTACAAATGTGGCAGATTAAATTATGAATAATGAATTAATGCAAATCAGTTCGAATTGGCGCGGACCAACTTATAATTATCACCCATCCATGAAACCCTTTGAGATTTGCATAATAATTATTGCCGTTCTAGTTCCCAAAGAGTATTAGGAACCAAAGTAAACATTTCCAAACTTTGCTGAAATGATACGGTGGATTTGAAAGCTTTTAGCAGAGATCAATGATACCCGTCTTTAGTCAAGTTATTTAATATTTTGTTTTAACGGGTCGGGGTGCAAAAGACCAGTTTTAATAGCAAACAAGACATCTGTCTGGCCTATGAACATCCTTTACTTGAGAGAGGTAACTGCTTAAATGGCTCTTAAAAAAACAAAGCCCTCTTATGGACGTTTGTATCGATTTGGAAACACCCCAAGCGATGGAAATACCATAGTTTTATTGTGTATTGCGAAATTTCCAAGTGAAGTAGGTAGCGTCGCATATGATTTTAACATCAAGGTACTATTCTTCAGTTTCCCTGCCTTTGTCAGATTATTCGAAGCCCTAAAAGGTTGGACTTAAATTCCCTTTTTGGGTACTTTAGCTCTTCCTAACTTAATCCTCCTACACACGAAGCCGTTTCATTTTTATAGCTCTCTATTGGTCTACATTTTCTCTTGTTTGAAAGCATTGGTCATAAAAACTTTCAGGCTAGGTTTAGAAACTATACCTAACTATGAGTGGGTGATTGTGTATGAAACCTAACAGCAGCGGTATAGGATAGATTTTATCCTCTATTTGCGATTTCAAAGCAACCTACTTGCAATTGTAAAATCTATATTTTTTATAGTCACTCTGAAGCTCGTTCTTTTTTACTTGAATCAAAATTTAGGAACGATCACATAGCTTCACTGATATATACACTGGCTTATGTATTAACTATTTTATGATTTTGACGTCTCAAAATAATCTGATATCTGTTGAGTTACATAAATAGTTTTGGATCTGGCTTTGCCTGTCGAGTTTCGTTTTAAATCCGTTCACAGCAATGTATGTGTATAATCCTGCAATGGGTTGTCAGAGGTCTTTGCTGTGAACCGGGCAAAATCACGTAAAAAACCATTTTTAAGCAAGAAAGAAACTAATGTATTTATTGTTTAATGGTTCTGATATCAATTCTTTTTATAACTAGTCACATTTAATTTCTGTAGTTAGTAAAATCTAGCTAGATTTATTATTTGTCCCCGAAACTATACCTATAGGATTTCATGGAAATTGTTGAAGCTGTTTCTAAGATCCAGTGAATTTGAATTGGTTGTTTAAGGGAAGTACCTATTAGATACACAGTCGTTCTCGAAGCAATCGATAATATTATGCTTACTAATATTTCAGTTGATAAGCTGCTTTGATAACGCATTCCTTCATCGATGATTCATTAGTAGTCCGTCTACATTCGGTTTGATTCTAGAAAATGTATGTACATCTGCAGATGACAGCTTATCAGTATGTCTGATAGCACTGCAGACAAGTAATTAAGTTGTTAAATCTATGTAGCGATAAAATATATTGCCGTTGTTTTTTATTTTTTTATCATAATTTTAATAATATGAGCTTGCGGGATAGGAATCATATAATTATATTATGTACTAGCTACTCTCGCGCGGCTTCACCCGCTGCTCAGCTCCATTTGATCGTAGCGTGATGTTTTATAGCCTATAGCACTCAGGAACATTGTAGTTACCTATCAGTGAAAGAATTTTGGCATTCCGACTAGCGGCTCCAAATATTACCTCCTACATACAAAACATACAAACTTACAAATTTTACCTCTTTATAATATATATAATCCTATTAGTATAGATTTGTAGTTCAGGGACCGTTTTTATGGTTTGGATTGGATAGAGTTCTATATGCATTTATTTGATTTCAAGGTGTTCAATAGGTAAAGTAAAGTGGAGTTCAATATTGAGTTAAGGCAAATATAGTATCCAGTATCCACGAGCCGGGTGGAGCGATAATTTTTATATGTCATTATAAAGATGCTATGATACTAAAATTTTATAGCATTTTATTTTTTCACTTCGAATTCAAATTTAAAAATTAATACTGGTAATTCCGGAGATAAACGCTTTCAAATAAAGACAGAAATTCTTCAGATTTAAAATAATATTAAGTTGAGACATAACTATAATATTGACAAAAAAGGCATATTATATTAAACGCAGTCACACACGTGTTCAGAAGTACAATAAACTCTAAATAATTATGGTTTTAACGTCCAAGTTCGCGTACCCATAAAAGGTAACGACGTCTGTCTATGCGGTCAAGTTCAGAAAGATTTGTATTCGTTTTTGTCTTGTAAACAAACAATTTCCTTCCTGTCTATGTTTATGATTATTAGCAGTAGAATTAGGTATTATTAGCTATTAACAGGTATTAACTAGCTGTTACTGACTGACTGACTGACTAACTAAATGTTAAACCTATATCGTTTAAAAATCGGAAAATTTTGAAATCATTTTTTATTTTTTATTAGAGTAGTTTAGAGTGTCTATTACATCCGAGTAGGTAAATTAAACTTTTGAGTGTGGAAGAGCCTTGTTTCGGCAAGAATGGATCGGTTCAACCGGAGTGATCCCTCACAGAAAACCGGCAAGAAACAAACATATCGTTGTGTTTCGCCGTGTGAGTGAGGTTATCGGCCCAATCCTACCCTCCTCCTATTCCTAAATTTCATAAACCTTAATCACAAAATACGTTGTCTACATACGGTAATTGAACAATATTCTAATTTAATACTTGTATTATCGAAATGCTAAAAATGATAACTTTTTGCAATAATTGAATTCAAAAGATACTATGAAAGGCCCTAAAAATATTGTACATTATATACACATAAATGTACAACTGATGAATTAAAACGTTATTGTTAGAACAATCCCTGCTGTAACCCTGTCAGCTGTATGATTAATGACAATCCATTTATCAGGATCAAATCCAATCCTTGATAATTCCCGTAAATTAATATAAAAACATTCATTCATCCCGCTAAGCGTTTTCTTTTGGTGTTGCTATAATAATTAATGTTTTGTTTTTCGTATGAAATTGTGTTTAATGTTATTTGTTTAACGATATATGTATTTATTAAAGTAGATGTTTTAGAAGGTGTTGTATAATTTATTTACACAAAATTAAAATTTCTGAAGGAATGTTTTTTTTACAACAAATGCTGAAATACCTATCTATGCCTTGCCTATCCTTCGGCCTTCGGTGAGCTCAAGTGTAATGTTAATGATGTTATGTAAGGTATAACCATTGAAAAAATGAAATAGGACATAAAGCTAAACTTTTACCCGTCAACATTGTGTTATATTGTTTATGAAAAAACTGATAAAGCCGGATTTTTAAGTGACTTTGAGAAGAAACGCTAAAAGAAACTGAGACGTCAGTCTCTTTTAAAATTAAGACAATGTTTGTAAATATAATGTGTGACAACCGTGCAAGTTCATTCTGTAGTGGTCTTTTGAGGAAAGGTTTATCACATTCACAAACATTCCACACCAGCCAAGTACAGACCAGATAGTACATTTATTATTATCTGTTTACGATTTTCTCAGTTACTTCATGTGAGTAAGCCGTTATTTCAATAGATTACTGTGATCTCAAATAGAAACAAATGAAAAGGTTCATGTTTGGCGATGATATCAGCCGTACTCGTAATACCACGTCACGTTCGTCAGTATTGTTTCATACTGTTATTTAAACGCATCCATAAATAATTCACATCTTACGTACCTATTTACATTTTATTTTTAATGATGAGAAGTTCAATGACGCGCATATTTTTATTTTAGAAGGTTAAATAAGTGTAGATGTGTGTTATAAACAGCTGGCTAAATGCACTTCTAACTGTTTTGGTGTTATAAAGCTATCAGCTAAAAAAAATCAAAACACAATTCTTCCGAAGATAACTTGTCATAGAACGAAATTATCGTTCAAAAATCTCTTTACTATTTTGTTACATTGGCATATTATTGTACTGAGTTTTCCTCCCTCGACAGACTCAAACAGGTGTTACTAAGATTACCATAATAGTAAAGCGATAGGCATTTATCCACGTCTCCGAGATAGTATGAATAAATTCTATGTACACGACGGAAGTATTGCCAGCCTTATAAATAGAAATGGACTTAATATAAACTTCCTTATTGTCGATCCACTTTTGACGGTATCTTATTGCGAAATTGACTCTCTTTGTTAAGGAAAAGATTGGTTGTGTGATTGTCTGTGTTGTCCGTTTTTGTAGACAGTGATCTTAATTGTGTTTAACAATTTCGCCTTGCTCTTTGAAGTTATCATATCTTACTATCAGAACTGACGTTACAAACCATGGTATTTTGGGTTATGAAATATTCTTAATTTTAATCTTACTTATAAGAATGTTCAAATGAAAAGGAAAAGGGCGGTGTACACATTTCATTTTACCATATTCCACGCTAAAACCTACAAGCAACTTGACAGAATGTTTCTATATACTAATTAATTTACGAAGTACGACAAAGAAAAAGAAGCAGCAGAAATACCTGATATTTTTTCTCTTTAACCCAAGTACGAAATGTTCGACGTACCCAAAAGCACTCGCGTGCAAATTGAGCAAAAAGAAAAATATAAACTGCTAATGCTGGTATGTTTTTACAATGCTTCGCGAATTTTTGCCGCTATTTTTTAAGTTAACTATTAAAAACATCACGGTAACAAAATTGCAACTGGCAATCATGCCAAAAAAGCTACCCAATTAGATGACAAACGAAAACAGTTTTGCGCCTTACAATGTTTAAATTCTTCGAAAAATATTCTGTGAATATAATTTAAAAGATCAAATCTGTATTGACGACTTATTTAAAGAAAACCTATTCCGTAGCATATTATGTACGACACAAGACGATACTTATTTAAAAACAAAGAATAACCGTTCCAAGAACGACATCAACGGACATCAAAATTTAAAATTTTAAAATAAGAACGAACAAAGAACTTACCGACAACAACAGCAGGTCAAGTGTCTGGCCAGTTTGCAGAAACCAGTAAAACAGTGTCGGTATAACACGTAAGGCCACCCATACGCTGCGATGGACAGCCTAAGGTAATGCAGAGCGTCCTCCAAGTTCATCCAAGGAGGTGTTTCCGAAAATATTTTGTTTACATCAGTCGTATATATGGGCTCTTCATCATTCAGCATTTGGATCCTTCTCATTTCCCTCGTCTCCCTTTTCTGGCGGACCCTGAGTAGTACGCAGCCTGCCACTACGTCTGATGGCACGAGGTCCGTTGATCTGAACAGGGCGCTTAGAAGAGCTGCAAAAAAGAATTAAGTTGTTGATGGGTTTTATTTTGGAAATGTGCAAAAAATTGCTATACGGCGAGCGCAAATCTGCGATTCTGTTCTACTTTGCTAAAAAGAGGTTATTAACTTTTTGGACTTTGCTCTTACTTTTCTTGTCTTGTATTTAGAATTAAAATAATTCTTAGTTGTTGTATGTAACCAAATGAAAAATCTACATATACTAAACTTTACTATACTTTATACCTAATCCACAATCAGATAAATAAAAAAGTGAGGATTGAATTAATGTCCCGTACTCTAAAGTTTTCTCATTTAGAAGGAGATAAATTGTGCGAAGTTTTTATCTTCTTTGTTATAAACTACTTTTTATTTCAACACGTAAGTAGTTATGAGAGTTTTATCAACTGTTTTGAAAGTATTTGACGTGACTGTAAAATTGAAATTATTATCCAGCTAACTCCAAAACATATTATTTACATTTCAATTATATCTGATCAACAGCGTTTCTTTCAGTGATATGTCTATTTCATCTTTACAAATTACTGAGAAACATAGACTTATAATTTAGGAACTTAATAGTTGCGAGTTGTGTGTACTTAATGAGTGCAGACTTACGTTTGCTCTCGCAACCATTAAGTTCGCTGATGATGTAGCGCTGCTTGGCAGTCTGGAGCAGGACAAAGAAGGAGGTGGTTTTTAGCCAGAAAACCTCGATCTCTCGACCTTCGATACTCCCTTCACTCTCGTAAGCGGGAGAAGTCATTGTATGACCCAATGGGGGACTCAATATAATGACACTAACTAAATCATTGGTTGGAAGTAAAGTAAGTTTAGTAAATTATAAAAGAAAGTTAGTAAGGTAATTCATTGGTGAATCGAAATTAAAACGAAAGCAAACATCATCAACAGCAGCAGATAACACAATTAAATTGGAAGCTACCGTTACATAAACATGTAACATTATATCAAGGCGCCTGCCAGTTGTTTTTGTAAACAAATACGAATTTTTTTTTTCGTAACCCTATCAGGAAAGTGATTGCATAAAATGGCAAAAGTGATTACCATGGACGCGATTGCAGTTATCAGACCGGAACGTAAGTAGGTACTTGGAGGACGTAGAAGTCAATTATTGTATTTCTTTCACGTGATCAAATTTTTATCAAAAGAGTCCACATATGGATTATAGGTGTCTTCAGATCAAAAGGTTTCTTTGTTTATTTAAACATCACTGACAAACGGTGAAAGAAGACATTGTAAAAGAAAGCTGCATTTAATAATTTTAGATTATAAGTTCCAAATTGAAAATGCTCCTTGAGGAATCGTGGTTGTTAATGCTCAAATCATAATCGTGTGAGCCTTGCCTTACGCTTAGCAGTAGGCACATATAGACTGTTGATAAGAAAAAAGAAAGAAGCTCTAGAGGAAAGAATAAGACGAAGAGAAGTGTTCCAAGATCTTTTCAATTCATTTATTTTGTGTGTAATGTCGGAGAGGTCGTTTCTTTGGTTGGTAAAAGTTGGTCACAAAACAATCGTTTGAGGAAAGCTTTTTAATTTTTCTGCGTATTTCCAGATGTTTAGGTAATTAATACTTTATCGACTATTTACTTTCTATTGTTATCTGTTTGTGACCACGTACAAGTGATGGTAGTAGCTTCAGTCACTGATTTCTTGCAGATTTCATATTTCTATGTTTTAAAATATGTATTCGTACTACAAATTTGGATTCTTTTGAGTTGGTTTTTCCATTTCATGGGCTATTTTTATATTTTATTCCAAACTTTTTATACCGTGTACGTATTCAAGCAACGTTACCCATGTACCATTAGGTACTAAAAGTTATAAACAAAAAACATGTTTACTCATGAAGTTACCTAAACCTTTTTCAGATAAATACAGAACTGTATTAGGTATAAGGAAAAAAGATACAAAATGATCATCTCTGACTTACATTATTTGAAGGTTACTTATTAACCTGCCATAGAAGTCAGAAACAACTATAATATTATTTCTTAGAACGGTATCTGTGCTTGGCAAGCGACAGATATAATTTAAATACTTCCGTTCTCAATCTTTAACAGCTATGTGGACGGAGAATGAGTCTGCATTAGGCAATCACTTGTCTATGATAAACGAAGTAGTCATGGACAAGTAGAACTATGTAGATACTATTTAGAAGGTAATAATTAAAAGGTTTTTCTAATATTCTTTTATTTATTAATCTTTGAAGCATCGTTTTAGAAAAACAGATTATTTTGAATGGTATTGTTTTTTTTGTAAATATTTGTATGTTCTATTAATTTCATAATTATGATAATTATACTTATATTTATAAGTTTAACCCAACGAAGTTAAGATAGCTAAGTTTTTACTGGCCCGACAAGTTATATTTTGATAAGTCGCCATAGGCACCACTAGTATTTCTGGACCACTCTATAGTCAAATTATTTGGTGGTATCTTTTTAGATGTTGAAACGATTTAAAAAATGCCTCTTATTTACCTGCAACCTGTTGAAAAGCTTCCTTTCCATGTTCATCTCTCTTCAGCCAGCAGAATGCCCACCGAAACCTTCGAGACCAGAGTCCCGTGACCTTCCTGTGGTGTCGGACCTGGTTGGGAGTGTCCTGCATGTCTCCATAGTTCACGGAACCCAGGGGATCAAATACCATAAATAGGCCGAACACTGTTAGACCTAGTTGTACCCAGTTGAACAGTACTATACCTGTGAAAAACGAAAGTATGCCTTATAATCTGAGTAATATAATTCATAATTAGTTGAGGTTCTAGATCAGATAATCCAGCCTATACCTAGCTAGTGGTACTTTCTCTTCATTATCACTACATAGTATAAAACAAAGTCGCTTTCTCTATCCCTATATATCTATGTATGCTTAAATCTTGAAAACTATGCAACGGATTATGATGTTACATTTTTAATAGTTATAGAGCCCTTGAAGAGGAATATTTATATGTATAAAAAGATCCATTATATTATCCATTACATTATTAATAGTGGAGAGATTTTGTACCATGGCAAAAGGTAACACATGTGAGTAATTGAATTTGATATATCAATGTTATGTGTCAGATTACAAAACTAATTGTAATCAAACATAGTAATGTTATGATTAGCAAAATTCTCTTCTTATTTGAATAGGCTTGTACAATACGTCACAACGAGTTAAAATGCCAACAAAATAAACAAATCATTACAGTATCGGCCTTAGACGTCCAATTAAAATCTCAGTAACTTGAGACCAGTATAACTGATTGACAAGAAACTGAATAACATAATAATGTATTAATTAAATCATTCACAAAAGAGGTATTCATACAAAGTGTACAATCTTCACGTTGAAAGTCGTTCATTGTGTGGCTATGAAAGGGGAATTTACAAAGGGTGCGCTAATTTTACACGGGCGAGTAAAACAGTAGCTCACTTTGTATGACGATACTGGAGAACTTGTCGTCGACTGAACATTGTATTACTTCGCAGAACATCCACATCGTCCCCATGACGTTTAGGGCCGTCTCCGGGAACACTAGCAGCACTCTGCAATAAAACATTTATTTGTAAACGCTCGTAAATCTCAGGTGTTCGTACTCAATACTGGTAGTGTTCGTACTGTGGATGTGTACTTGAAATGTATTTGTAAAACAAGGATGGATGATGTATAAGTAGAATGTTTATGTAGTTTTTCTAAAGGATGGAGTGTCAATAAGGTGAGTCGTTAATAAATTTCACCTTCTACTTTGTGAATAATACTTCTTTAGTCAAAAATTCAAGTGAGTCGTATTAACTTGACAAAAAATAGTTATCTTGAGATGGTTTGTACGTAGGTAAGTATAATTTAAACAGTAATGCTTCACGGTAAAGGTAAACATCGTGAGGAAACCTGGACTTAGGTATAATTTCTAATTATAAGTTTGAAATCGTAAATCCGCCATGAGCAAGCGTGGTGATTAATGCTCAAACCTTTTCCGTGTGACAAGAGGCCTTTGCTTAGCAGTGTGCTCTTATAGGCTGATGATGATGATGAAGTATAAATCAAACGTTGTGACGATTTATTACAGAGTTGTTAAAATGTCATTAATAAAAACATACATTCCGATAAACTTCTTATCAATAACAAGTTAATTGGACAAATTTATTTCAGGTTCATCTCGTGACCCCATTTTCTGTCACAATAGTTCACTGTTCGCAACTGTTATGACTCAAAACGTAAACAAAGGAACAAATATTAGGTCAAGATTGACAAACATAAACAAATTTATTTGAATACATATTGTTATCGCTTGTAAACATAAGATTTCATTCATTATTGTTACTCTAGCCACGCCCATACACTTCGAGCCACTAAAAATAGCATATCCATAACTTTTACTACATAAAGAATATTACACCTACGGTAGTAACAGTCAAGTGGGATCACTTAAAAGAAATGAAGCCATAAAACTTTGAGTGATTGCATAAAAAACGCGGCTTGAAATATCTGTACAATATGGATACAAACTTTTACAAATATGTATAGAGATATGTATATGTATAGAGTGAGTGAGTAGGCAGGCAATAAATTCAAACGACATTTAAACTAGTGAATCGAATATAACTATGAGGAATTAGTAATGTTTGCCAATAACAGTGTGTGTGAGTATAATAATGCGGAACATTACGTACGCATGCGTAATCCTGCAATTTTTATATTCGGTCGCGTAGTGGCTATTCGGCAATATTTTCTCATCAATGACGCGCACTTTTCACTGTCCCGTAGTGTAACAAAACATTCGTTTTATTCTTAGTATGCGATGACGCGAGTCTGTTCAACTATTGTAGGTTGTTAGCGCCTTGGATTAGAAACTAATTACCACTTCTAATGCACTGGCTGAGTTGAATAGAGAAAGTAATATTAACTACGTTTTGTGAAGAGAGAAACTGTAGGAACGGGGCATTTACGGCTATTTATAAAGAGTCTATACTTAGATACGTATTCGTGTATTATCACTACATAGTGTATAACAAAGTCGCTTTCTGTGTCCTATGTTCGCTTACTTAAATCTTTAAAAGCACGCAACGGATTTTTAAAAAGGTAGAGTGAATGAAAAGGAACATTAATATGTATAAGAACATCCTTTAAATAGTGAAGAAATTTAGTATCAACTTTGCACCCATGCTAAGCTGGGTCGGTCGTAGTTTATAAATGGAAATGTAAAGAAAATAACACCAACAGTAGGTTTATCTAAAGATCAAAATTGTATAAGCACAGTAAAAATATCATACAGTATTGTAACTCGGCCGCTTGAAAGAAATAAATACCTACAGCCGCGCGGTACTTAAACATGCGTTAGGGCTGCTCGTCTCCAGTATTTTAATTACCTTTGTCTACTTTCTGTTTCAATTTAGTTTTGTGATTGTAAATATCCTTTTTTTATATAAACAAATAAAGTGCTTTAAAAATAAACAAACAAAATTTCTTTGGCCACCAATGCCGAACTGAACTGATGATGATGATGCTGACTACGAATGTTCTAAAATCACAACCCTCAAACATCAAAATATTACATGAGTCTAGCTGTTATTATTGTTGTTATTAAAACCGAGAAAAAAAAACAGTTTTTATTGGTATTATGTTGTTAAAGCAGCAGCAAAAACTCTTTATGAAAATTTCGAAAACTATCTAATGACACAAAGACTGTCAAATTTATTTTTTCTAGTATTATTCATTAACACAAATAATAAACAAATATTATTAATAATAAAATACCACAGTCTCTACTTTGAATTACTTATACAAACTAACAAAACATACATGAGATGAACCGTTTTACCACAAGCGTAAGTAGGTAGGTACCTAACGTATCATGATTCACTCAGAACCAGAACCGCCTATAACTACCTATTTCACTCGTCTCAATAACTTTATTCATTTTATTTATAAATTCAAACACCTGTTTTCGTGAGATAAAAGGAAATAATGATCCATTATAAAGACACATTACGTACCTACCTAGGCTACTAATAAGTAAAATTATTTTATAGTCTTACCTTTCAGTTTCCAGGTAATTTAAAAAAACTTATGTCTGGATGCGTTAGTTACGAATTCATGCAACCAAACACAGCACAATATTTCCTATTCGTCATATTAAATAATGTACTCGAGCTGATTTCTAAATAAAAGACAACACACCGTCCGTTCGTCACTGCGGTACAGCCGCGTCTGTCTGCGTCCCGAGCGCGTCCCGACATCGGGCGCGTAGGTATAGTTCGCGTTTCGGCCGTTTCTATGAAGTTGAAATACTTGTAGATATTATTACCTTGGTATAAGTGAGTAAGTGTCTTACGATTATTTGTTTACAAACTTTGGTTATGATAAAACGAACGTGACATTATAAGGAGATTCTAAAATATTTATGACTGATTTCCTTCGATTCGTTTTATAAAAAGAATACCAAATATTTTCGCCGATTGTTAAAAATTTATTTTGCGATCTCTTAAGCCCTTTAGAAATCTCTCAGTCACGCGAACTGTTTTATTCATTTCGAAGGTCCCTTGGGCCAAATAGAGATTTATTTGCGAAAACAACTTTATTATGTCAATGTTTTCGTTAAGAGTTAAATCACACTAGTAATAAATACACAAGTTGTGGGACAACACAATTGTTATTGTAGTACTTAATTTAAAAATAGACATCAAAGAATCTTTCTTTAGAATCCAGGATTATTCTTGGAAAGGAAGCGAGAAAATCTCGGAAAATCTCACGACGTGTTCGAAATGCGAGTAGATAAATAATAAATTGTTTTAGATTGTAAAATGTGCGTTTTGTTTTGTCTAACATATCCTCGGAAGATAAAAATAAACATTGTTTATTTTTTTATTTTTGCAAATAGGCCATAAAACGGCACTTTTACACGTCAATTTATATGTGAAAAACTAGATGAAGCCGGCTTTATGTTATGCTGTATTGACATCGTGTTGTAGTTTTATTAATTTGATGATTAATGGTATACTTATGAACATTAAATAAAACTTAATTTATCTTGGCTGCGTACTAAAGGTACATGTCTAACAAAAGGTCTCTTCTTACAAGGAGGGGTTTGAGTATCAATAGGCAAAGCACAGTTCCTCAAAGCGGATTGGTAACTTTAAACTAATAATTATAAGTTAAAGTCCAAGTTTCTCAAGATATACATACATATATATGCAAATAAGTTTAAATAGCTAATAACTTACTTTATAAGAAGCAGTGGCGAAACCATCTTCCTAGCATCGATGTCGGTGATGGTTCCCTTCGCTGACTGAAGCGCTAGGGCTGCTAACAACAGCATCAGGGCGGCTTGCAGCGTCAGCGTCGCGCAGAGGTACAGTCTCACGAACGCTCCGCCTTGCCAACCCTCTGATTGACACTGCCATGTTACTGGATATAGCACTTCCACCACTAATGCTATTAAAACTAGCCTGTGGACAAAGAAATAAGGTTCAAATTTGTATAAAATTATTGTCTTTTTTTCTTTGATAATTGGAAATATACCTGTCCTTTTTCTTTCGTTTTAGATTTACGCAAATGTGTTACGATTCGTAGAAAAACATAGATGTGTAAGTTGAAAAAATAATTCAGTCAAAGAGTATTGTTTTGACGGGGGATGGAACATCAAAAAGTGACCTAAATCACGCTGACGTTCTTCTAAATAAAAGTTTTAATGCCTCTCTGATGAATGGCACACTGAACTAAATAAAGCGTTCTATGTTTACAAAAACACCTTATGTAGGTAGGTACTAAGAATTTATAAATATGAGGGATTTCCTGTGTAGTCTACTCTTTTTTCTTTATAATATGCCAAAATATAAGGTTATGATCGATTTTAGAATATCGTTACGCTTCATCACGTGTTGTTTCGGAAGCTAATGTCAATCCCATAAATTTTGTTTAATGATTCGAAACGCATACGTCGTCAGTTTATGTTAGAATTTCGAATTTAGAATCCGAATATAAACGAAGCATCTATTCATATAATACGTTTTTCAATTTAAAAGTTATAAGTAGATATACAAGTATCTGTAGGTATACATAAATACAACATGAGAAAAACAGCAATCAAATACAATTCGGTTATCTCTATCAAAAAAAAAAAAAAAAAATGAAACAAAACCTGACCTAATTTCGATTTGAAGTATTCTTAATAATTATTTCATAAAATAAAGCGTCATTCGCCGCGGCCATTCTGCCGGTCAATCAAACGTTGGGTGTTGTGACAATTTAAAACCCATTACGGAGCAATCACGCCGGGTTTCCAAGGTCAGATGGAGACTGAAGTATAGAGAAATTGCGAGCCAATATTCGGAGCGAAAGCTCATTCATATTAATGGCGTGCAACAAGTGACACGAGAGCCGAAGGTCCCTGATATTTGCACAAGCAATCACGATGATAAAACATTATTATTATTCACACAATACACCCATATAGGTCTAGTTTAACAATTATTAATGCATTTGTTTATTATTTATGGCGAAGTTATTTAATAGCACAGCTTAATGAGTCATCGCGGCCCTGGTCCAAGCGTTCTTTTTTCGAAATGCGATTTTTTTTCTCCACGCTTTGGTTGTTACTACCATAGTCTGTGTCAGCCAGCTACATGTCAATATGGAACAAATTGTAAACCTAAAAAGTAATTTGACGTTGCCGATGCAAGCGCATTACAGTATCCTGGCCGTGACCCGTAGCAAGGAAAGCCACGGGGTGTTTTTAGTCAGTAAGAGTCTGACAGTCCCTTTTGCCACACAGGGGAATGGAAGATTTCTCAACGTTAAAAGAAACCATACCTATTGCAAAAACTTCAGTTTAGAATAATAGGCATGGCAACACTTTCCTTCCATTTTATTAATAGAACTTTTATTCTTAGTTGAATTTAGTAAAAGACCTTTCATTAAGCCCAACATTGTTATTGGGTTTAACGAGGGAAAGGGTAAATTAATTCTTGTCGCGATATTTACAGCCCTTTAGGTACATTTCTGTTTTCTTTTGTTACTAAAATAGTGAAGGTCTGACATTTTTATTATAGGAATTTGTTTTTATTATTCTACTTCAAATATTGCCCGCGTGAAAAAAGTGAAAATAGACCCTTTTATTGGACTTTATTTATCGGATTATTTTCTAGAGAATCTATTTTATTGACCAATTTTTTATGCAGTTGTTTCCAGCCTGCATTGTAAATGAAATAACTATGTCGCAAGTATTTAATTTTTAATTTTAGAACTGATTATTTAGAATCATTTAATATAATATTATTATTATAATATTTATATTTAGAATCAATTTTCAATCGATTGCTAAAGATGGAGTCTACCACAGATTATACAGACATGTGCAATAGTATGATTAATTAATTATGTTGTCAGCAAATAGTGGCGTATTTCTTGGTGAAAGTGAGCCACTGATGTAACTCCTCGACCTCTGATGTCCTCACACATCGCGGTCAACGGAAGTAACCAGACAAAGTGGAGACGCTTTAAATATTTATGAATTATCGATTATGTTGTTCAAAGATTTTCATGTTATGAATATGAATTCGGTAGGTAGCGGGCACAGTTTTGATAATAATAGTATGGTTGTATTTTTCATTATGTGATGACAATGAATTTTTGGTACCTAATATGTAGGTATGGTTTTTTTCTCGAATAGTAGGTAATCGTATTCTGGTTTAGTCAAGGAGTTCCTGAGCGCAATAATGTTTTCTTTTTCAAATCACTGACATTTTTATTTTAATTGTGATGACATTTAATTTTTGGTACCTAATATGTAGGTATGGTTTTTTTTCTCGAATAGTAGGTAATCGTATTCTGGTTTAGTCAAGGAATTCCTAAGCGTGATAATGTTTTTTTTCAAATGAACACTACATTTATCATAAAGTTCGATAGAGACATAAAAAGAGGTTGGATGTTTATCAAGTTATTTTTTCTGATATAGATTTTATACTTTTTCATTCGCCCTTTTTGCTTAATAATCGAATAACAATCGTAATAAAATAATATGAACTGTTTACGAGTACATATTTGACTATCAATAACCATTTTTATTACTAGCACTCATATTTTATAGTTTAAAATCTTCTGTTCAAGAGTTGAACACGCACTTGAATAATATTTAACTGTTATATTCATAGACCTAGTAAATGGTTTTATTGGAGTTATTAAACAAAAAATGTTTCTGATAGGCTTTAAATTAATTGAAAGGTTTTTAAATAAATTGTATAATGTCAATAATAAATTCATTTCGAATTTTGAATATAGATTGTGTTTGTCTATCTAACGTTTATTCATTGTAAAATTAAATGTAGGTTTGATTTGAAAATCTTGTCATTTGTATCTAGTAGACCTTCAAAACAAAGTACGATTTCTCAAATTAGGTACAATTATTCGTTTCAATGTTTTACTATACCTACAAGGTTAAGAAACTGATCAAAATATTTAACGCCATATAAAGAGATATACTAACCATACAAATCTGAAAAGCAGTTCGAAGATGCTGGGGAACACGAGATCGTCGGAGGCTGCCAGCCATTTTCGCCCCAGCAACCGGAGCGCTGGCATTCTGAAACAATAAAAAATAACATTAATTAATTATTATACTTTTCTAATGTCATTGCTTGCCTATGGACTTATAGATTTTATGATTAGATACATACATACCTAGTTGCATATTAACTGATTATATATTACATAAGGCTTAAAACCATCTAGAATCTAGATTATTCTAGAGCTAAATGTAGAATAGAAGTATTTTTACAATTAGGTACTATGCTTTTCTAATATCATCGCTTGCCTTAAAGACTCTCTGATTAGATACCCAATTGCATATAATCTAATTAAATATTACATAACTATGACAAACATCTAGAATCTAGATTATTCTAGAGAAAATGTGTAAATAAAAGTACTTTTACAACACCACATTAGGGACCAGACCTAAAAAATGTCCTCCATTTTGTTCGCCTACTTACACAGACGGATGCGAATAAAATCCACCAATTAATGGCAACACTTGAGACTAATGCGGGCAAAAAGAGCGGGAAACTTCTAGAAAAAAGAAAAAGGATAATGAAAGTGGTCACAATTTCGAATCTAGTCCTGTCGATGCTATTTCTGACCGCTATTAGTTCTAGTTAGCAGTTAGGACTATTTATTTTTTGGTAGATACTTACATAATGATATTTTATTGTTGCACGCTAAAAAGAAATTACGAGTATACGAACCTTTATGGTCTTGGAAAACTAGTTAGTTCTATTTAGTAAAGTGAAAAATTGTCTCAATAATAGAAAACCTACTACTAAGTTACCACATATTACCTATACTTAGGGCTCATTTTTCAATGGTTAGGTTAGATTTTTATGGTTATGATGCTGTCACGTCAGAATGTTTGTGTAAGAAAGTGACAGCAACAATTTTATTCTTCAGATAACATTTATCTGACTATTGAAATATCAGTCCTAAGTCAAATAAAATTAAAAGTATTAGATATGTTTTGTGTAGTCATTTTGATATTTTGCGTTAAATAGCTTGCTATTTCTTCAAGAGAAGATACCTAAAAATATCGTAAAATGAAACGCCATCAAAGCATTACCAATTCCTCTGGTGTTGCGTGTGTCCATGAGCAACGCCTATTGTATACCATCAGGCAATCCCCCTGTAATCCCAATCCCCCCATCCAAGTAATCCCCCAAAAAGTTGTTTAAATGAGTTGTTTCGATCCTTTTAGGTTTGACTAAGTGAAAATAAATTAAAATTTCTAATTCTTAAATTCTGTAGGAAAATCAGTATTGATCGAAGAGGTCTTGTTGATAAATTTTTCAATATCATTTATTTGGTCGGAGACCGAAGCCATAAAATCTTCAATATAAACTTTTAAGAAAACAAATGTTTACCGGAACAAAATTTGGTCTGCCCACTTTTGGTAAAATTATTCTGTTCTACTCATAAACATATTTCAATCAGATGAATAAGAAACATTTTTAATAAACATCTATTTTGCTACAAACACACAACTACGTATTTAATTGTTCTCCGCAGAGTTCGTTACTCAAACCAAAACTAGTATTAAATCAACGAATAAGATAAATAAGATACAAACCGCAGAATGAGAGTAAGGTGAATTTAAATTGTTTGTGGAGTAAAACTTTTCGGCTTAACACTAACACAATTGAACTGAACTTTACAGACAATTCACAGTTGTATAATTAACTTTTGTATTTCGCAGAGTTATAAAAAAACTTTTCGCCCAGTTCGTTTTATTCACTTTGAAGTATATTTTTTTGCTTTCTGCGTTTAATTCGAAGTTTGTAACTAGTTACGTGCTCCCTCGAGTATATACTCTCATACGTGGCGGATTTACTAACTAAATTCAAATGTGGAATCACGTTTGAACTTTGAAACGCTTCCAATTTTGAATTTCGCTATACATCTTTTTAGTAATACATGTCTTACTGATAGAGATATAAGAGTGAGTTTATTAATTAGCTTTTTTCTCGATATCGAAAATCTATTCGTTTAGATTTCATTTTTTTTTAAATAATATTCTCAACCTGAACTTTTTGAATTGAAACAAACTATACCTATTGGTCGTTACACGTGCCAGTGCTATTTTGTAAAGTACAAATTATTTGAATAAATTAACCTTTAGCTCCCTGCTTTACCAATATCATACTAGCTCCCAATTAACTTATGTGGCATATGCTTCATATAAATTACGTTCTATATTCAAATATATCTTGTACATAACGGCTATTTAGACATTGTCGAACATGCCTTTAACTCCCATACCATAACCCATATATTATCATCATCAGCCTATAAGTGCTTACTGCTGAGCAAAGGCCTCTTCTCATACGGAGAAGGTTTGAGCATTAATCACCACGCTTGCTCAATGCGGATTGGCGATTTCAAACTTATAATTAGAAATTATAAGTCCAGGGTTCCTCACGATGTTTACCTTCACCGTATGTGGTGTCTAAATAATCATAGAAAGTACATAATAATATAACTTGGAAAAAATCACACTGGTACTTGCCGGGTTTTGAACCCCTCATGTATGGGCCTCCATAACCCATATATGAGGATTAATTATACCAAAGTTAAAAGTTTAACTTAATAGCATCCGACATGATCTTGAAACCTGAACAATTAAAGGCTCACGTTCGCGGAAGAGGTCTATTAGGCTATTAACCTGTTAATAACCCTAGCAAGGCCTATAAAGTATTCTATATAAATTACACAGGTAACTGACAATTACGTAAATCCTTGTTTCATCACACATAATAACATCCATTATACAATACTAATTAACTATTATCTTCAGAAGGTCTTAATAGAAAATAGTTTATGTTGAAATACTTATACACAACTGCTGGGTTTTCATTATTTAAAATGCAAAGGTTTCAGTTTCAATGAAATAAAGACTGAATTTTGTAAAAATATGTTCCAACAAAAATCAGCTTTAATTAATTTTCTGGTATTTTTTTACAGTAGAAAAATCGAAGTTGATTTTTAAAAATTTATTTTGTCTTCAGAATATCGTACGCTTAATAGAATAGAGGTCTAATTCAAAAAATATAATGTATTTGAATCTAAAAAAATGGATCTAAAAAAAGGTTTAATATTCAAATACCCACTTTTATGAGTTAGTTCGGTTTTCTATTAATTGGCTTGTTGGAGAATAGTTGGAATGGAATAGTTGTATTCACAATAAAGGTAGGGGTTCTACTAAGTAGCACAATAATAAAAAAATGCTTGTCATTTAATTCAACTTTAAAATACTCTTTTGCTTGTACCTACATACAGAGAAAGTATTCGACGAACAAAAAAAAAACAAAAAGGTACATATTATGTATGTATGTACATGTATAGGCAATTTGTAAGTGTACTTAAACTTTTGAATATAATGTAGGTACATAAAACAAAATAAATAGCTTGTCTAATGTTTGTTTAAAGCCCACTGTAATAAATCGACTACAGAATAATTTATTTCAAAAGTGGAAATCGACAATTTGATAGCCACCCAAATAGTTTTTGAAAAGCCATTAGAAAGTTGTAAGTACCAACATGTCAATGCGTAAGAATATATTGTTTTTATCGACAATTCGCTTTATACTTTGATATTTACTGCATAAATAAATGAACGCAATATTTCATCTAATATTCCCTTTAAAAAAACCATCAACAAGTGGTTATCTGAAGGTAAAAGCCGCTAGTTACGCATGAGGGTGCAGTTTCGTAACTTAATAAGTCCCAATTCGACTTTTTTTCGAGTTACATGTTCTTTCTAACATTATTTAGACGCTACTGACGATAAAGGAAAACATCGTGAGAAGACCTAGACTTATACTTTAAAATTATAAGTTTAAAATCGCCTACACCCTAAATCAGCCTGCATCTAGGTGCACACTGCTGAGTAATTGCCTCTTCTCACACGGTTTCAGCATTAATCACCACGCTTGCTCAAGGCGGATTCGCTATTTTCATCTTATAGTTAAAAAATATAAGTCCAGTAGGTATACATCTTTTATAGCTCCACCCCCCTCTTTCCATCACGCTTTAACACTTCATGATAGGTCCTCAGGTTTCCTCACAATGTTTTCCTTAACCGTTTTCTGTTGCAGTACAGCTTTTATTATTTATCTAGTCATTCGACAAAACGGCAGCGCTATAATTTGGCGACCTAGGAATCACATAAACGTCTTATGCAACCATTCAACTAACGAAGCTATCTTATGATTATGATGGATTACAACCAAAACATAAGCATTATTATTTATTACATTAGTGTAGTGCATGTAACATTGAAATTGTTCCAAATCACGTTTGCAGATCGAGACGGCACGTGTCCATTTTCTGAACATCTTTTGAATCCGTCGCGACGCGTCGGTCGGCCGACCTGTCGGTGGTCGCATGTTTTTTCGGCCACTGAACTCTGGAACGCCGAAGTATTTCTGGACACCGAAAAGTTTTTCACTTTGTTTACGCAATTTACCCTAATGGGTCGGTCAGTGGGTTACGGGTATTTTTAACTGTATCAAGCATTTGTTTATTTTTAGTTACTCTTTATTACTGCGAGTAAATTGTTTCGTTCGAATCGGTTTATGTTTTTCACAGCTGATTAAACAGTCTGGTTGTATTGAGGGTATTTGCTTTTTTTTGATCTGAGTAATGAAGTGAATTTAAATATTGGTGAAATTTCTATGAGGAAAATAGCAAGTCATTCGTACAATATCCAATTCTTTCATGAAAATAAGTCCTAATAACAAGAAACCGAAATATAAAGAAAATAACTTACCTAAATATTGTAGTACCTAAATATTTTAGTATAAATTAACTCATTTGGAAGAAAAAATAAGCAGATCGTTTTCGTGCTGTACGAAAAAATGGCAAGTTATTATTTATATTACACGTTGTAAATTTGCGTCCGTTCCTAACCGACAAAAAATGGGAGACCTTGAAATATAATGACACAAAACAGAGATGAGAAGCTCATTAAAATTGATAGTATTCTTCCGACAAATGCAACAATAATGAATATTTAATGGTTTGATGATTTCAATG